CCACTGCCTCATATCCAGTTTCCGAGGCGTCACAGAAAATATGAAGTTCCAAGAGCGAGCGATCTGATTGTGGGATTAATACACAGCGTGGAACACTAACGTTCTCAACCCTCTGAAATCCACCTAAAATCTCTAACCAGCGTTTGCCTTCCTCACTTGGGATCTCTTCGTCCCATCCTAGTCCCAATTTACTCAAACGTTGAAGTAACTGCTTCATAGGAAGTGTGAATGGTGCTAACAATCCCAAGGGGTCGTATAATGAAGCTACACTCGACAATATACCTCGCCTAGTGAGAGGGCATTTCGGTATGCGAACCTTAAATTCAAACGCATCAACCATAGTATTCCAAAATAATCCCAATGTGCGTTCCGTAGGAAGTCTCTCAAAGTCAATCTCTTTTCGGGCTTCTGCTCTCTCTTCTGAATGAATTGATTCGAGAACCTGTAAACAGTTACTTGTCCACTTGGTAAGTCTGAACCCACCTTTTCTGAGAAGTAAACCAAGGGTTTTTGCAAGCTCGATTGCATCCTGCACATTATCAATTGATGTTAAATAGTCGTCGACATAGAAACTCTTATCTACAACTTCCTGGACATCTTTATTCAATTCCTTTCCGAATATATCTACCGTCTTCCGAAGAGCGAAATTAGCGCAAAAGGGAGAGGACACGGCTCCAAACGGATGAACTGTCAAACAATATTCTTTAGCCTTTCGTCCTATATCACCGTCTTCCCACCATAATAGTCGAAACGCTCCCCTGTCTCGTTTCGGGATCTTTACCTGAAGGAACATCTCCTCGATGTCAGCGGCTAATGCTACGTTGCATAATCTGAATCGTAGAAGTATACCAATTAAACTATTTACAGTATTAGGTCCTCTCAAAAGCTGATCGTTAAGAGAACAACCTTGATAGACAGCTGCACAATCAAAAACAATTCTTAATTTTCCAGGCCTTTTAGGGTTGATAACAGGATGATGAGGAATATACCAACAAACAGCATCACGGTCGAATTCCTCCTTACTAGCTTCAATGATGTAGCCTTTGCTCAAATGTTTACTCATCACAAGTTGATATTTCTCCAGAAGACTATTATCCTTCATAAACCTCTTCCTTAAACACTCTAGTCTACGTTCAGCTAGTTCCAAATTATTCGGCAGCCTTGGCTTATCATACTTCCAGGGTAGACCAACTTGGAAATGGCCACCTTCCAGTCTAAAGGAGCTATTAACTATTTCTAGAGCTCTTTTATCTTCGACAGAATATTCATTACGAAACCCATCTGCGTCCTCGAATTCATGATTATATAATCTTTCTATATCTCGCAAAATATCATTAGTAGAACAATGACACCATTGAACTTGATGTAAAGACCTCGATGCTTCTTTAGGACCTAAAATCATCCAACCGAGATGAGTACGCACACCAAACGGATGCTTCCTGTCTCCCAGGCGTTGTTCAAGGACCCAATGTGCATCTGGAGCATTACACCCAATCAATATTCCTACTAGATTACTTTGCAGCCTCGGTAGAGTTATGTCCCTTAAATGTTTCCACTTTCTCAGCTGCAGTTCGGTTAAAGGCTCTGCATAATCGATCGGAAGTTTCTTGGTCGTATAGGCCTTGTTGATCTTTATAGAACCCCGCTCATCTAATGAAAATACCTCTAAATTCACTTCCAAACATTCACAAGTAGAAGTTCCATTCACAGTCGTCACCTTTATTGAAGTCTCCTTACCTTTGAGACCTAACCGATTAACCAACTCTTCGCATTCAATAGAGGTATCTGAACCATTGTCTAGAAGAGCGTATGTTTCCAGACATCCTTTGGGGCCATATAGTCTAACCGGAACGATACCCAAACAAACCTTTGGGAATTTCCAATCCTTCAATGTTATACATACATTACGTAACTTAATTGCGAAGTCAGTTAGGTTATCGGCGGATCCTTCAACAGATTTGTGGCTAAGTAATTCGGTAATAAGATTACGGGCAACAAGATGTTCTTTACCAAACAAATCATACAAAATTTCCTTAGCCCTATCGTAACCCAAGTGACTGGGCAAAGAAATACAAGCTTCAATAGCCATTCTGGCCTTTCCTTTACAATAGTATGACAAATATGACAACAACTGGCCCTTGTCAGACAGTTTACTCTCTATAATGCTTGTAAACTGACTAATAAAACGGTGGTACTGGCTTGGTTGTCCGTCAAAAAACATCATATCGATTTTAGGCAAAACTGTATTATTAACCGTAGCACGTAACGTGTCCTTTAATTCATCAATACAATCGCATTTTGAGGCGTTAATTACATTATTACGCGCAATATCACAATCCAAATACCTTTCGACCTTAGAATTTATCTCAGCTTTGTCTACTGACAGTTGGTTATCGTTTTCTATGAGCTTACATTCTAATTCAGCCATATCAACTTCCTCTTGAAGCTCTAACAGTTTAAGCTGCCTTTCTAACTCAAGTCTCTTTTCCAAATTCTTCTTCTTAATTAATGCCTTATCTAGCTTCAATCTAGAAGTACTAAACTGAGATGAAGACTTACTATTAACACTAATATCATCAAGTTTATCATCATTAACATCAGACATACCACAAACAGCTTTAGAAAATTTACCATCCATTTCGTCCTGCTCCTTCAGCTTTTTGCTTCTAGTTTCCATTGTATGTTTTTATTCGAAATCGATTACCAAGCAAATGTGAAATTAATCCAAGCGTATTCGGCCAATAATAACAAAAATGTCCAAAAGTATCCAAATTATAACCAAAGAACCGAATGGAATAGTCCAAAGTATCCAACGACCAAATTAAAAGTAAGAAGAACTTTTGGACCCAAATTTCCAAAAGTTTCCAACGACCAAGTTTGAATTGAAGAACCTCTGGAGCCAAACGACCAAAAATGCAATATATGACGAAATTAAATTAGAACTTTTGTTACGTCCAGTTTTTTGCTCGTTGATCTTACGAAGCACGGTTGTCGAACTATTTGTAATTCACGGTCCCCAAATGTTTAAGCCAAGAACGAAACTCCAAAGTAGATACCAAAGTTTATTCCAAATCACAAATTCGACCAAAATACTTTATTACAAATAGACGACCAATGTCGTTCTAACAACAATAATTATAATAATTACAATTACCTTCTAATTTATTAGCTCTTGGAGCAAAAAACTGCAAACGAACAACAAAGAGAAACGGGAGTCCAAAATGTCCGCAAATAATAATTCAAACAAGTTCACAAGTTAAGTAAAACAAATGTACCCAAAAACAGTGAAATTAATGATATTTATACATGAAGGTTTTGATCAGCAAAATGTCTTCGTTTCTCCCGTAACACTCAGTTTGTAGTTGTTTATATTCTTTACCCTGGATTTATTTCTCTTCTCTGTGACGGGATTGTAATTAGTATTTAGTGGTAATCATAGTCAATCTCGACTCACTCACCACTAGAGACTAGAACTTACCCTGCAGTCAAACTAATAATTCTGAATAAAACAGTAACATGTTCACTGACTCAATAATCGATCAAAAATCACTCATTTCGATCTACTACCAATAATACGTATTAATTTACATGAATCTATCAACTCAGTCCAATTATTTTGATAACATTCAATATAAATATGGTATGCTATGAGCTCAACACATTTTAATCTATTAGAATACCCGGTGTAAGTAACACGATCACTGTTGGATGTAAAGTGCATTCGTCAGATAATCGGTATAGTGGTCTACATCAAATGAGAGACTGTTGATACCTATTGCGGAATAATGTTGATTACGTTAACAGGCATGTAAATAAATGTTCTGAAGACAGCACTATCCGGAATAATACACGCTTTGATAAACTCACCCAATAGTGGATACTTGCACAACATATCGGTTGTGTCTAGTCAACCAACACCTATCAGTTGTCATCAGTACTACTGGCACAATCTATCTTCAACTCATACATTAACTGATTCTGGGTACGCCAGCTGAAAGTATTTCGGCGCATGTCAGCATCGTGACTGCTTCCTCCTTGTCAGCCCTCCTATCAATGCGTTCTCTTCGACCCGACTCAGTTATCTTACAGTGACGAACTGTTACTTAATATACGACGCGTTCGTTACAAGACTAATTCTTATGTTCAAAGCAGAAGAGTTCACCGTCAGGTTGAACTGATTTACTCGGCCAACTGGACATAACTAAAGTTTTGGTTTTATTGGTTTTTCATGGAAATCTAAAAGCTGAACATTAAAGCGATTTGAAATAGTTTGGATTATCCCGTTGATTTTTTTAACTAAGACTAGATCAGTCTTGGTCGGAATACGGGCATCCTACGTAGGTTCCCTCGATACAGCCATTATGACACATGTTAATCTGGAATAGATAGTATGTGGCTATCAGTGGAGTCTCATAGACGTTCTAAAAGTGAATAGCTATCTTGGCTCAGCAGCAAAGTTTGTAACGTGATGTCATTTGAAACAAACGGTGCAGTTCTAGTTTCGGAGTAAACATCAACTATGGGATGGAGGAACATCCGTCCGGCGAGTCACGAAGAGGACGAAACGCGCGTGTTTGATTCTACTGCTAGACTGTTGAGGACGTTAGATCCTTGGAAAGGTCCTAATGTTGTAATTGTACTCTGAAATTTTGAATTTTTATGTTTTCGCGCCAAGAGATGCCTAGTTGACTTTCAGCTTACATTTCCCACTTGGAAAATCCTTGACAGTCATTGGTTGACGGATTTTTTAGTATGTTATTTTGTGGCTCTCCAAGGGCGTTGCTGTCATTGTATAAATAAGCTTGATTTGTGTGCTTAGAAACCTCGTATTTTTTGGGTGCTTGTAGAATACATTCTCTACGCCTTATCAAGACTTCTTGCTTTTGTTAGCAGTGTCTGGGACAACGGATTAGAATAACCTACCGAGTCACTGGATCGTTGACCTGTGTCCAAATATATATTCTAATAATTATTAAATTAACCGAATATGGTGTAATGCTGGAAAATACAACAGAGTAAAAATAAAATATTCATTTTTTGTACAAAATATAGGTAAACATACATATTTACACATACATGCATTTTTACGAATTCATTATGTCTGTATCATTGAGATAGTTTCCAAAATATGTTCCGACATTGATACGACATTAAACCATAAAACATATTGCCCAAAATGACGCCAAATCGATGCAAATTTTAACAGGATCACGTTATCATTATCTTGACCAATAGTATTCATGTGGGAATAATGAAGTGTACTGGGCAGTATAATTTTCATTAAATATTTTCGAATGCATGAATCACGTTCAATTTGATTGATCAACCCATTTACTTCGATGATGAATACGTCATATAAATTAGCCCCATTTAACTGACGTTGTTGTGTTTGTTGTCTTACTAATGTTGATGGAAATGATTCAGTTGAATGAGAATTAAAGCAATTGTTGTCATATTCTAATGTAGAATTATTTTTTATCTTAAATGATGAGTGCAATGACGATTGGCATGTGGCATATTGCTGATAAATTGATTCATCTTGATCTAGTTTTCTCAAGGCATTTAATTGATTTATCTACAATTTTTTTCAATCACAATTAATCAGTCGAAAAATCAAGTGCGAAATAGATATTGATAAATTACCGCATATATGATATAACATCAATGACTGATCATTAAAATACGATTAAAACATTGATAGAAATAGACTTTATCACAGTTCAGACAGTTGCTTTTTGGATTTTCACATGATATTTAAAAACTGTTAACGGATAATCCTTAATTTATCAAATTTTAAAATATCTTGTTACTCTGTCGTACTCCTAACGCTAATTAACTCCAACTCCTAAATCTAGACAATTTTTGTTCACCATGATAAATCAGTTCATAAGTAAAGGTTAATTAATGATGTGACAATTGTTTCGCGATTATCATTTTAAAGGCAGTTTATTAAAAATTGTATTAATATTAAACACTGGCTTCTGGTTGCCTGATGAGTCTTATTCATCGTTGACGGTATTGGTTACATCTGACACATGAACTATTTGACCCATATTACCAAAAGTGGAGTTATGTTCAAGAGTTCGGCGTTTGAGTAATTATTTGGTCAGCAGCTTGAGTTACGTAGAACAAGTGGATCAGTTGAATTAGCACAGCAGACCTGTGTCAGGTTTCAACATACACAAAGAAAAAAGCAAGATCCTCCGATACAACACAACATGCACCAACCAAACCACACTTGATGGAAAAGCTTTGGAGGATGTAGAAAACTTTACATACCTGAGTGACATCATTAATAAACAACGCGGATCTGATGTCGGTGTCAAGACACGGATTAGCAAGGCAAAATCAGCCTTTCTATAATTGAACAACATCTGGAACTAGAAACAACTGCCTGTCAGTCAACACCAAAGTCGCAATTTTCAATACGAACGTCAGCGTAGTCCTAATGAATGGAACGGAAATTCAGAGTACCACAAAAGCCATCATCCACACGATACAGGTGTTTATTATCAGTTTTCTACACAAAATACTGAGGATCTGTTGACCAGACAGAATCAGCAACAGTCTACTGTGGGAGAGAACGAACCAGATCTCAGCAGACGAAGAAATTAAGAAAAACTGCTGGAGGTGGATAGGACAAACATTACGGAAACTACCCAACTGCATCACAAGGCAATCCGTAACTTGAGATCCTCCGTACTAACGGAAAAAAGGTAAACCAAAGGACACACCGTGCCGAGAACTGGAGGTAGACATGAAAAGAATGAAAAACTCGAAAGGATATTAAGAAACAGAGTTGGTTAAAGAATGCTGGTCGGTAGCCTATGTTCCATTAAGGGTAACAAGTGTAAGTAAGTAAATAACATGCATTAATAAGCAAATCAGTAGTCATTCTATGAATCATTTCTCTTGTTATACCATGCTTTCAAATATTTTGATGCGCGTTTTCGGCAAAAAAGTGATGATAGTGATGATATGTGGGACTCGGTAGTATGAAACCTAAACTAAACGTGAATGTACAGTAGATCCTTATGGTTGGTGATAGAGACGCAGATATAAACAATATCGCAAAAATAGCCAGTAGAACACACGAGGGAATGAAACAAACGAGTCCTCATTTGCATAACACTGCAGTAGAAGACAGAATCGACACGCTACAGAAAGAGATAAATATTTTATGCTACATGTTGACGAAGTTGGAGCAGGATGACAGACTGCAAATACGTTCACGAAGTAGATTATGTGACATAAGCCGACCACACCCCAATAGAGACTTGGCTACGTCAATATGTTGGTATTATCAAACCTATAGCAACAGAGTTAGAAAGTGTAGACCATTATGTAGGTTTAAAATGACACAACACAGAAACGATCTTAGCGGTTGTTGGCAACACGAGCAGCAGATGGCGTAACTTCTAGAAACATTCGTATGTTTTACATGCAGGATTGAGCAATGAGCGCAATTCTCAGTAGATAGAGGAGCAGAAATTAGCGTCGTAAGGGAAGAAAGATGAAACGTCAATACTGCCCTTATACTTGGAGCAGCAAATAAATCGGAGATAAAAACGTGTGACAAGCGAAAATCGACTCCGAATTTCGGTCGAGGTACTTCAATTCACTGGGAATTCGCCATAGTAGATGTGTCCACGTCCATAATAGGCAGTGATTTCCTATAGAACTTCGATTTATCAGTTGATTCGCTACGACGCAAGCTCATGAAAGGCGACTGTACCATTATGATAAGAGTAATAATAACAGATTGTGTATCGACGAATTTGATGGTATCAAAAGACTAATTTGACCTATATAAATCGCTGTTAATAGAGTTTACTGATGTAACAGAGGTATCACACATTAATGAATATTTAAAACATACTGTCCAACACCACATAATAACAAAAGGGCCATCAGTGAACATAAGACCATGAAGTTTGGATCCAGAAACGTTGAAGGTAACAAAAGAGGAAACAGTAGATGCGTTATCTAGAACGACAATAAACGACCTCGTTTCGATTGAAATCGGATGTTACGAACTAGGCACATTGTAAAATAAAAGATATGTTGATTTAAGCGAGCTAAGTAACACTAACACATATTCCCTTTGGTATTCGAAGAAGCTCCATTCGGATACATAAACATAATGTGTAATACTTCTAAAGGCCTACCTTAGCCGTTTATTCCGAGACCGTTACGACGAAAGGTTTTCGCATCAGCATAACATATCGCATCAAGGAATAAAAGTTACAACCAAGCTAGTCAGCGAGCATTTTATATAGCCAAACATGAACCAGAATGTTCGTAATTGGATACAAGATGCATAAAATGTCGAAAAATTCAAATTTAATCGTTATTCTAGTACAATGGTAGATACTATCCACCACGCCGACTCCAGGTGTGAACTACAATCATCGATTTGGATTGTAATCTTAATTTCGTACATTGTTGAGTTATCTAATAATGGTTATTAGGATGAGTGATATACGAAACACAAGAATCATCTCGAAAACATTTTACTACATAAATATTTTTAATTCTGCTGAGAAACTGGATGCCTGACTCTAGTTAGTACTTCATGAATAACGAGAATATAAGTAGTCTGGTCCTTCGTATCGAATTTCAAGCACACAATTAATCGCTTAGCGTGCATGAATACATGAATAATTATTGAGTATCAGTGTGTGGAGATCTACAGTTCAAATCTAAAAAATGAGTCGGGAGTGCATGTCGCTGTAAGTCATTTGATAAGTTGAACACAGATTAAGGGACTGTGATGTACATCATTTCGATAAACAGAAGGAATCAATTAATCAAAAAACAAAAACACTAACCATTGACTTTAACTGTACACCACAATCTTCCATATTTTGTATACATTCATTGAGTTTATCATAATAAGTTTCCAAAATTTGACCATTACGAAGTTTTGTCATTTGCTCTATATTATCGTTCAAATATAGATCACACAATGCATACGTGACAAAATCATCATGATTCTCAAGAGATGATGTACCTATAAGAAAATTTGACCATATGAAAAACAGCTTTGAAAATTTTTTATTTCTTAATTCTGTTAACCATTAATTATTAGATAGTATGTCTCTTACTATGTAATTTTACTGAGCTAATTTTTTTGGGAAAACCAGTTGATTGGTAAAGTTTACCAAATTTTAAATAACATAGTAGAGAGATGTAAGTCAGTAACTGTCAGTCACATATTATTCCTACTGACAATAATAGCTAGCCCTTGCATCTGTAATGTTAGAGACATGGTCAATTTGGTGAAATTTCCTTTTATAGTTGAATATTAACTGAATATCAACAGAAAACTGAGAGGTCCTGATTGATGTTTACAAGTTATACTTTACTGGCAAGTGTTTCAAAGTATGACTAACAGAGATCTTTAAATAACAATGCTTTGATTAAAATTTGGATTCAATTATAAAATACCAAGCATTAACTTTTAGACAAATACATCAATTTCATCATGTCTAGCAAGTGGTGTAAGTTACAGTGATTAGAAACAATGACTACTAAAGACTGATTCTTCAGGGTAAATATGTTGCGCGTTGAGCCCCTATGTATTGATTTATAGGTGTGAAGTACGGGCTATAAAAGTATGACATATATGCAGGATATAAGTATTCGATGATTGGTGTCTGCAAAACATTACTAACATACAGTGAAATCATTCAGCGAGTAGTAGCGCAGTTTCGCGTATATTAATGGGTAGGAATGGAAGGTGGACTGGCGTGAACATAATGGTTCATTGATTGAGATTACTGGCAAATGGTGTGCATGAGCCTAGTCACCACCTATTCAGAGACAAAGGATGCTGGCTTTAAATTAAGAAAAGTTTAGCGGTAACCAATCCAAAAAGTGACTGCATCTTAAGAAACTATTGACTAATGGATCGAGTAACCAGTGTAACTTCATGAAGCTCAAAATAATGCTAACACAATAGTCACATCAGTTCTATCGATATTTTTGTCTAAAACTTAAATATAACCTTCATTTAGGGATGAATGGAGAAGAAATGAGTGCAAAAATAGACGAATTCCGATCGCGAATTTCATGGAACAATGATGTAAACTAAGTCTCATGTTGAAACCATGATATTTAGACAGTTAGAACCTACTGGAAAAATCGAAAACTGTTAAATACACTGAGAAGACTTTAATTAGATTAGGATAAGAATCCTTAGACGTAATACTAAGCATGATTGAAATTGGAAAGACTGTTATAATGTATTCGAACATACCTGATAGGACTTTACAGATATGTGTAGCCAAATTTGTGAAAATGATACATGACTGATGGAAATTAGTACTCCATTTCTTTTTCAACGGAGAAATTTTACCTAGTAGATTTGTTAGGCGTTCATTTATAAAAAACGAGGTTCCCGATTCCTAAGTGTTGAAGTAAAAGCACACATATGAGAAAACATTACTGTACAACTTGACAGTTCCAAGAAGTTAACAAATTTTAGGCGTTTATGCTTTCCATAATACGTCTCTTAATCAAAACAATGGTGAAAACCTAAAGGTATTGAACGAGTACTTAGTTTTGATTAGGGGGCCTTTTAGTAAAACACACTATTAGTTCCCGTAAAGATAGAAAATAAAATAAAAAAATCCTAAAATATAATTCTCTTTTTATCGTCTCAAGTCAGTCACTGATTAGAGATTTGATTTGTACACAGAAATGTAAGCTTAGTAGATAGATTCTGTGAATAAACCAATACCGATAGCTGGGGAGTTCTCTACTTTTTTCTAAACAATGAACAATGCATCATTTTATTCAAACCTTTAATTTTCAGCTGATTTTAGTTTCTTTTCTTCAAATAATTTCATCCCTAAAATAAATTGATATTTTTGATTGCTGTGACTTGAGTTATGAGTAATGTATTTTAGTAACAAGAGAATTTACCATGCTTAATATTATCATTGTATTAGCATCAAAAATCTGGAAAAAGCACAGTGGTTTTGTTATTTACCATTGCATACCTAAATATTATTTCTGATATGGTTCAAAGCACATATTTTGTTCTATGAAGGACCCGTCAGATGGATGTATCTAGATCTCAATGTATCAGTTTACCTTCCCAGACCTGAACTCAATATCGTTTTTGTAACTAGAGTATTTTACATTGGACCACCCACCGTCCAAATTTTTGAACTTATCTCCCTCTTGACTTACTCCAAAGGATACGTCACCTTGGAACGGCAAAGAAAAGTGACTTAATTATGTGTTAACATTTTAAGCTGCCGAGCGATCAGATGTAGACCTTTCTACTTCATACTTTAATTCGAACTACTGCATGATCTGAATAATCCTTCCGACATCTAATACTATTGTTGGCCTGATTATATAATTAAACTATTGAGTAGTTACCATTTCAATGTCATCTTCCAAAGGAGCTATCCGGGAGACCTAGTATCTTGACTTCCGCCTCAAATAGTCTTGTTGTAAAGTATTATACGTTGATCAGAAGGTTTTTAGATCAGAAACATATCTTAAAAAAGCTGAAACAAAGTGGGATAGTTGTTCAGTCAGTCAGTCAGTATCAACGTAGAACTTGGTACGTACGTACATCATCAAATTTCCAGACAACATTTGCGCATGGAGATGAAATTGTTCGGCCAGATTCCAGAGTCGTAGAGGTAGTAACAATACTATTATTATTACTAACTAGTAACGTGCTTCAAGTAGAGAATAACAGAACAATAGTATGAAAGCGCAGAAACAAATTAGATGACCACCATAAACGTCAGACAATGATCTTGCCAACGCATAGATCAATTAAAATTGGAAAACATAACGCACCAGAGACTTTCAACTCTGTCAAATAAATAAAATCCTATTTACCACAACTTGAAAGCTTTAGGTTTCAATAAGTCAGTCAGTTGTCAGTCAAGAATAAAGTAGAACCTGGTACGTATGTAGATCAGTTTAGGTTGTCTAACCTCATTACACATAGAGATGAAATTTTCCGGTCAAATTCTAGAGTTGTAGAGGTAGTAACAGCATTAATGTTAACGGAGAATTTTAGGGATTGAAGATAAGATTCTAGAAAGTATAAACCAGTGAAGTAAGAAAAATTATGAGGAATTCTGAAGCTTGGAATTCGGGAGAAGACTTGCGTTATTGCGAACGATTTTGAGTGATATCATTCAGAGACTAACCATCAGTTACGATAATCATACAGACCTTAATCAGGCAGTCTATACGTTTCAACATGAATCACTCTAATTCTCAATGACTCCGTAGACTCATACCAAGTTTTGGTTTGACCACCGATAGTTTCCCTCCAGCCTACTTGAAAACCAGACAACACAGGATACCGGGTGGGCAGTGGCTAGACATACGTACCCTATGTCCCAACCTCCTCAATTGGTGAAGATTCACTACTTCATGTATTGATCTGCCATCCCTACCCAAAACACTTTTTCTAACACCAAAATCACTTACTCGGTGGTCCCACGATATACGAAAAATGCTTCGAAAACATCTATGATCGAATACTAGTAGCTTACGAATATCTTCTACTCTTACTGGCCATGTTTCACACTCGAATAGTAGGAAGAAGCGAACTGTTGCACAGTACACTCGTCCTTCAGTTGGCAAACGGATATGTCACCTACGCCAAAAATGACGCAAGTTGGCTAAAACCAATCGAACCTTCTATATTAATGCAGAGATTTCACCACACAGCAATCCGTCAGAACTGATGAGACTCCCCAGATAAGTGAAGCGGTCGACACGTTCAACTACTTCACTCCCTATCACTAATTCACGTGCCGATGAAAGTCAATCCTGAAGCAACACATTTACCTCATCCCAAACATGCTTGCATTGTTGCTTAAGGTGGTCAGAAGACACTGCATTCTGTAAGCGTCCTCATCAAACAGAACTATGTCATCGGCATATTCCTGGGTCAACAAGTGGATCTCCTGGTAGGTCACTCGCTGAAAGGTCAGACGGGGAAAATTAAGTCTACAAAAGTGTATCAATCACAAAGTTCATAAAAATGCTCATTAGTTAAAGTGTTCGATTGATAGCCACTATGTTGCAGTTCAGAACCCCATATAACGTCCTTCGGTTTCGGCAACTGGGATGTATCACTTGCTCTCAGGCGGTGTCTCGATGCACGCGTCTCTACTTCGTGAAATCAGCTCAAAAACAAAAATTGAATACTGGACAGCTTTTGAAAAACCCTACTTCAGAAAAAAGTTCAATATAAGACATTATACAAGAATATACGATCATTAACAAAACATTTGTTTGAAACACCTTTTCTAATTGGATACAAGGTCTCACCTGTTTAACGGACGAATTCCGATTATTTTGACCTTCATTAAGTGGAGTTGAAGTTATAAATTTGGAATGGTTGTTACGATGTTTACGATTCTTTACATTTTTTGGTAAAAAGGTGTCAGAAACACTTGAACGTTTTTTCTCTTCCATACATACGGAAATTGTGAGACCTTATACCTACAATATCAAACCAGTAAATTTAAAGCTTATTTAAATGTGAGAAATTTGTAGAAAATCTGAAAACTGGAAACAAAGTAAACTGTTGAACAGAATGAATGTCCATGTTCACTTGGATCAACTACTATTGTCTAGAGAACATTTTATAGCATTTAAAATACTAAGTTGTAGAAATTGACACATGGTTATGTAGTGGTGCCATAGTAACACTACATATAGTTGGATGTTTTTCCAATCAGATCAATAATTTGCATAACTTTGGGCACAAAAGCTTAAGTAGACGAAATTCGGTCACAATCTATAGTATATAAAATAAGTATTATGAACATTTTGATTTTATGCTTCATTCCATAGAAGGATCTATGAAAATGAATCTCATTGAAAATCTAGCTGTCTAAGGTAATTTCACACAAGCTAATAGTTTTCAAAAGTTAACTCCGATAATCTTGCTGATATCAAATTTCTTTATTCGAACTTTATTTCAGCAATGGGTTCGTGTTTTAGTATCTTATCAACATTGCTGTAAGGATAGTAGAACTGTAGATTCAGATCAGAAATTTCCCCCATATATATATATCAAAATCAACTGAAGAATATCTGTATTTTGCAAAGAAGTCGTAACAGTGACACTAAACGGCAAGAAATTCCAAAACGGAATTAGCTGTACTTAGCATTACTTACATGTCAGTATACCTTAAGGCTATGTTTTCATTCGTGTTTGACCATTGTAAGTCTGTGGTTGACCATATAAACTAACTGTTTCAAATAGTGACCATTTTTATTTTACTCAATCGTTTGATAGACAGCATTCAGCAAATAAAATTAAAAATCTATCTTCCATAAAAACAATTCAGCAGTAAATTTATAAAACCTCTTGTTTATTTGACAACCAATTTACATCTCAGATGACATAAGTGACTATACTACTGAATGATGACTCGGAAATGTCACTGAAATATGCTAAAGCTCACATCATCCAACCAAAGCAAGTCCTTAGATATACCCTACTTGGCGCAACACAGAAAAGGAATATTCATGCCTGTAGAATCTACAAGAATCTTAGTAAGACAGATTTCTATTCCTTAGCAGCAATGATGTCCAAATTTTCAGTATGTATTGTCACTGAAGAAGATCTGAAAAGAAGCTACAAAGTCATTGCACAAGGTTCTCCCCACGATATGAGTGAAAAGATGAATGAATATCATATTAGATGGGAAGGAAATTTAAATAACTGTTCTAGGAGTTTTAATAACAAAATTACTGACAATGGATTTGTTTAGCTTTATACATTTCGCAAAATATTTTATACTTAGCAGCGAGGATTAGTTCTGTTGAGCAAAACAATAGATTTTATCTGTCTTATAAATAATTTAAAATCATAGTTTTTTAGTATCTTCTGCTTAGAATACTCTGGACTGGGACAACAGAAGCCACTTTCCAACTAAAACCAGTAAATGCGGAATGTAAACAGTAATGATAGTGATATATTCGTATGCTAAGCTACTATTTATCAACTCCAACTTCAATAGGATGAATGAGACTACTTCTATTCTCGACTTCCATGCTATATTAACTAGGGTAAGAAGTTCGGTTTCTTAATGGAAGTTTTGTTGATGATGAAACCAACAGAATTAAAATGGCACTTATGTTAATTTGGTGTGAATCCGCTACAAAAATTATGATTTGTAAACTGAGATATTGTCAATATATACAAACCATAGTGAAAAGGCTTTGAAAGTCCACCGAGTAATGTGACGAAACTGTGTTGAAAGTTGACTTTACATTCACACTGAATTCACCTAAAATCGATAATGATTTGTTCCTCACAAGTTGTAAACAAGGATTCCACATCCTCAATAAATACGCTGTCCATCAAGTACTTCTTAGGTGGTACACACATAACACTCCCCACCATATTACAGAACCTGAGATTTACTCTGTGTGATACCCCAGGTATCTATCGCCACTGGCATTCTGCGACTAACAAAGCATACTCTGTCTTGGAGTTCCTTTTCAGAACATCAGGTAGTTCGCCTTTGAAATTGGCTTCAGTGTTTACTTGCGACCTCATTCGAAAAAATTTCTGCGTTCTCCGCTTACCTTAAGAAACATATTACCTGTACGGAAAGAGTTCCAAGAAGAGCAGCGACAAAGGTTGCTGTAAACTCTAAACTTGTAAGCTGTGCAGTACAGAAAGATTAGAGGGGATTTAGTCCTGTTGTGTCCTGTGGTCCATAGACCTTTCACTTTAAGAGATTAATCACTCATTTTGGTACTAAATTGCACCTAAGAGGATATCCACTTAGAATGAAACTTGGAAGAATTCACATAAAAATCCATGCAACCGTTTTCGTAAATGGAATAAGCAAACCGCGTAACTTGTTAACAAAGGTACTAGTAACAGCAAATTCAACAGTTTTTTTTAAAGCCTTGACGTTTAGTTTCTCTAGCTACTGACGATGATTACTTTAGGAGCTGATTTAGGACTAATTTCATTATTAATAACTGATTTATTTCGCCCTTCAATTTCAAAGGAAAAATGACAAGAACCATGCCTCTTCACTACTACGAATGCTTTAATACTGCTCATATGCATATCCAAACGAGAAAATAGTTTGTCAGTTATAATAAGCTAAGTTATGACGTTCAACTCGTAGTTTTTGTCCCATCCAACTGCAGCGTTCTATGGAATACAAACAAGTTTCTCAGTGGCAATGAGAATGCCCTAAAAAATTAATGTTTATACATATCATAGAGACGTCAAAGTTTTAACAGGGATTGTTAGAGAATAATCTGACAGTTGGACATGCTTAATCAAATCTGTCAAAATTAAACATAGTACGACATGCAGAAGCGACTGATGGTCGCTGCAGTTCCCAATCCATGCACCTGAAAGGCCAGCTGTCTCTGAGACAACATCAATAAATGAAGGAATCCACGACCGCTTTGTAGGTTGCGGTTGTTCTTTAGTGCACTTCAGACGAACTAATTTTCAGGAACAGATGAAGACGATCTCAAAACTGGCAGATTAGTGCATGATTAGATAACTTCATCCACAATAACCGTTCAGCGTACACTGTACGAGAATAAGAACAAATGTAAGATTATTAAACAGTGATTCTAAAAAATAGTTAAAAATACGTATTTCTAAAGAACAAAATATTATTTCAAACATTTGCGTCCAGATAAATTGTCTAAAAAGTTGGGCAGTCAATCGCTTCAAGTAATTGACATACGAGAGCAATCATATTTTGATTGTCACAGTTCTTTAAATGATGTAAGATATCATGGACATAATACAAAAACAGAAGTTTCAGTGAAAATATACAGACATATATGTATATCTGAAATATGTATGAGCAGACATTTTATTGAATTTAATTATCCAATTTGTATCTACGTGGCCAGCCAATAATATACATATTCAAATATTCTCAGTATCCTAGCACACTTTCAGTTTTATTTGCCACATGTGAGTACAATTATTTAGATGATATTTATTACAAAGCTCAAATAGGTTCAAATTCTGCGAAAAAAATGCGAACATTAATGCGGAACGCATAAATAGTCACAAACCTTAACGTGACCTCATGGTCGTATTGCCGCCACCAACCTTCAACGACTACTTCAATATTGTCCAGCAGATTTTAATGCTAAATATTTGAGGATTTTATGTCAGCAAAAAACTTGGGAAATTTATAGTAAAATGCCGCTATCAAGAGTATTTTATTCTGACCATGAATAAGTTGAAATAGATAGTTCTTTATTGCAAAAATGTTTCAGAGAATGAAAAACCTTACTCTCTTGATTTCCAAATAATTTAACCTGAGTCTTTCGTCATTTCTGATTGTTGTTCTTAACCCCACTGATTGTAAGTGCATTTAGTCGTTGTCTCATCATTGTTTTTTCCTCTCTCAGATCTCCTCTCCTACTCTATTATCCAGGCTCCACTAAAACACGAATTCCCCTCAGGCTAATAATAGGCTTTACAGTTTAACATCTTTTGAGTTGTCTAAATATTTTCGGCCCATAATACAGAACGCTGTAGCTTTACTTACTTTGTAGTTGACAGAGAGATTTGGGTTTGCAATCGTTTAGTTAGTTCAAATAAGATTCTGGCACAAGCTACTAAATTGATATAGAACGCGTAAGACCATTGAAATATGACTGAACCCTGACTTAATCATCCATGTTGCTGAACATTTCCCACGCTACATGACTGAACCTTGAAAGCACTAGGCGATGTACCAAATCTTGTTTACAGATGACTAGTCCAGATTATTCCATATTCTTTCTGCTTTGTACCAATTAAATCTATCCTTTCTGATAGTATTTGTTTGATCCAGTCGACAAGGAAGCTATTTAACATATTTATCACCACATAATAGGCCGGGTTAGGGGTTAGGCTTGCATTTTGTGCTCGACATAAGCCAGGTAACACTATTCCTGTCCAACCCGAGTATACTCATTAAAACAAGCTATCTACATCGATAGTCCGTAAATGAAAATGTTTTTAAACTCTTGTATATATCGCCATTATTTTAACAGTTATGCTTTATGGATCCAGATGGATTTATTTTTACCCTAACGTCAATTTGTGTTTACTCAGTTAATGTAGCCTGACTAACAAATTTCACTCACTCACTTTCCCAACAGTTCTTCTGCTGAAATGAATGAGAGAAATAAAATATAGAATGTATTATATCTTCGTCACCTGTATTCAGAATACTGGCTACATGTAACTGTGTCACCCAAGTCGAATGGTTTATTTACAAAGTCTACTTCATCCCTGAAATCATACATCAATAATTTTTAGATCACCGTTTTAAACCTGAAAGTTCTGGAGGCCCATTTCTTCCTGGTATAGGGTTCATCAGCAGTGCACATCCACAACTCCTGCCACTCGGAAGATTCGAACCCAGAACCTTCCTTCCTGAGCGCGGGCGCCTGGCCTCTGGACTACTGAGCCAGCATCCAAAGGAGAAAATGTCTAACTCAGATAAATCTAGGAAGTTCGCGCGACCCTCACCCGTCGATCCTAGTTAGTTACTGCCTACACCGACAGGAATGAACTCCAAGTGAACAGCAGCATCACCATATACTTCAGAAGAATTTTACTGTCAAGACGTCTCCATGAGTAACTAAGTGCAGTGCAATACGAACAATACTCTTTTTTTCATGTTTACATGAATACTGGTAAGATAACGCCGTGATCTCACAATTTTCAAACCAATGTATACAAGTTACGACTGATATGATGTTGACTACGCAACTGTCAACAAACTGGAAAGAGAAAGCATAAAGAATTTAGGGGAATCTTTATATTTGCAGTGCATTTGGATCACAACTATACTAATTACTTATAGTTCAAAACACCGAACTCCAAACGTTTAGTCTAGACTCAGCAGACAAACCTGATCAATGATTAGAGACTTTGAGTCACATGGCTCAGGTGCATTCAATCTCTGTGTTCTCTCAAATTTTAATCTTCTGAATCCCTTGTGACCCCTGTTCTCTTTTCTAATTTATTTCGCTGGATTATACTCCTTGTATAACATCTTCTAACCTAAGTCTCCATCAACGCTGGTGCTTCAACTTCCTCCACAATTGTGGGATTTGAATGGGTAGTTCAATTTCTGTGGTAATGTGGTATGTCAAGTTGAACTGGTGTTAGCAGGTTCAAAGTCTTATGTTGCGGCTGATTGACTCAGTCCAAATGCATGAGACTCTCTCCTTCAGATAGTTATTACCAACAGTGTCGCATATCCCTTAACGTGCTACTTACTTACCAAGTTACCAGTCTACTTATTTCTTATGCCTCTAATGGAGCATATGTCGCCAACCATTATTCGCCAACAAACTCTTTCCTGAGGCTTCCGAATTACCATTCATTCTTTTCACGCCTGTCTCCAATTTCAGTCGTGATGTGTTCTTTGGTCTTCCAAGTTTTATTTTGCCTTGAGGATTCCGATTTACGGTTGGTCTTGCGAAGTAGCTGGGTTATTTCCTCCATGCGCGTCCTATTAACCTTCAGAACGTTTTCCGAATTTCTTTCTCAATTGCAATCTGGTTTGTCCCATTCCACAGTAGGTTGATGCTGGTGGTGTCCTATCGTCCCTCAAAGATCAACCAAGAAAATTGGCTAGGTATGAATATACACCCTGAAATCTCAGTTTCTCGGAAGTCAGCAAGTTATGCGACACTAGAATACTTATTAACTTAGCCCGAAGTATGCTTTTAAATACCATTGGTACCATGATAGTCAGACTAACAGTTTGGTAGTTAGTCATTAACCTTTTCTTTCCATAACTGAATAAAGGGCCAACGAACAGAGCCTTTTCAACCCTAGAGAGTTGGATTTGGGAAAGAGACATACCAAACAATGTTGTGAGTGATTTGGGAGTGATGTCATCGAGGGATCACACCAATAATCACTCTAACTTATCAGGATCAGGTAAGCTATCAGGCTTCAAACTGAGCTCGTTTGACGTAATGATGGGGCTCTGATGATAACCTGTTCTGTCTAACAGGGTCCTAAAAGCATTTTGAAACGGAATTGCTCCACTGATTGATCTTTCTCACCGGCTGTAAATTTAGATTTACGGATATTTTTCAAATTAACTGTCGCTCTGTTTCTAGCCCGCTAACTGAGTCCTACTAACTAAGTAGCTTGCACCCATGCATCCTGTTCAGGCAGTTCATCGCTGATAGTGGCTTACAAAACGCCCTGTTTGTCTACATTCTTTTCGGTAGGCTCATTATTTTGTGCCACTTTTGATGAATGGTAATTTCTTTATCAGGACAGTGTGCGACAGCAGTTCGGACCCTGGATTATTCTATTAGCTCCTATTGGCAATGAGTTATTTCATTTTAATCCGGGGTAGGAGCAGAAAAGAGAACATTAGCGGCTTCGTAGCAACGTTTATACCAGGCTGGAAACAGATAGGCACACATTTCATAAAACTATCTTTTACATCTGTTATGCTGAATCTATTCCTCAACATGAAAAGATACAGCTATTGACATCAGTGACCTCTAACGACCATTTAACCAACATGGTGTGTACAAAACTTAAGCGAGGTGAACTGTGAAATGTGAAAAACAACTCATGTTGCTACGGTGACTTTAAAAATTTAACTAATACTGGTGATATTTAAAGCAACAAACTGTCGAAAATGTTAGCTAATGCAACTTAAGCAAAAAGAGGGTAAAAGGAGGCTGCAAATTTTCAGAAACACAAAGCTGTATAATTTTAATCCTGAAAAATCCAAGGTACTAAAAGCTATTCACAAACCCAAATACTTTTAAAAGCATTAAATAAGGGTTTGAACCTAAGGTTTATATGATATAACAAATATCTCACTACCTTTAGTCAAAATGGCTATAATTTACAATAGATTGCCTAGGTTTATCAGGTCGTCATATGTGTATTTTTAGAACAATTCAACTATCGTTGATCCATTCTGTCACGTGGATTAACTGCTGAAAGTTTTCTATTGACCTGAAATAAATGCACACAATAGTCTACATAAAATCTTTTAAGAAGAGGGAACGGCGGAAGATTCTAAACAGTAAAAGGATAAAATTTGGTTCCGTTTGGGATATATAAAACTGGATATTGGACACGTATTCGAATACGAAGCGCAGAGGGTTTTTTGATTCTTCGGTTTGCGTTGGCATCTATTGAAGGTCAACCGGTCCTGATGTCGTGCATCAAAAAGCTTAAGCACGACCAAAAGGTTCTGCAGGAAATATTCCCAAAGTCCCACCCAAGATTCCGAGTTATATCATGTACTCTGGATGAAATATCGTGTTCCTTTATTTGTGATAACTGTTATTTGGAGATTACAGGTAGCCTTTTGGTAAGTTTTTTGGTGCCAATAGATCTACCTGTTGTTGATCACGTTTTTGTTAAAAAACATATTATACGTAACTAACATGGAGTAGAATTCCACTATTACGTCTGTCAAGCGGAACTGCCAAAAATATCATAGTCCGTAGATGTGTATCTGCCGGCACTTATTCTAAGGATCTACTATTTATTTTCAGTTATAAGTAATTCTAGCCTCGATAAATTATTTTTGACACAGTTTGATTTTAAAGGTTGGAAGTTTTATGATCTTGAGTAATCATTGATGAGAATTCTTAATGGTACTAGATATGTAATACTAAATAAAGCCATCAATATTTATTCGCTACAGACATCCCCCCATTTTAGACGCGTGTCCGGAAATTGATGATAATACACATTGGAAATCTCCAGTTTTTGTCATTAATTAATCCTTAAATATCGACCGTAGAATAACTCGGAATCACTGGGAAATGTCTTTAAGTGATCAATTGTCGATTACGCGAACAACAACCAATACTTAAGTCATCGATAGATTTCTGCAAAACTACCTAAATAATATTCAGCATGGCAATGGAAAAAGACTGTAACTTTTCGTTGCCTTTTAAAAAGTATTAACGAACCGTTGTACCTCTAGTTCTTACATTAATCCATATCACATAAGTCTGCCTGATGTTTCAAACGTAAACTTGCTGTTTAAGACTGTATTCTAGGTTTGCTCCAATATAGATCGCGCATAATTCCGAAACAAGTCCATGTAGATCTCAATAGTCCTAGCAGTGACCGCAAAATTCAAGTCTCCTGATTGATCCCTGCTTCACAAGTAGCTGCAATCCCTACGCCATGTTTCGGGATGAATTCTTAACCCATGTACTTTTTAATCCGTAGTAGACATTCCGTACTTATTTCATAATGGTGCAAATTATGTTTCACCACTCGCTGGTATTCATTACTAATTACCATCAATTTGTTTGCTGTACAAAATCGTCTTTCGGCTAAACCAACTTACCATTCCTGCTGTAGTGAGACGCCCTTACTTTGACTTCGTATTATGTAAAAGTGTAGTCTCTTTGAGCAACACAGGTTATCATGGACTAGCTGCTTTTCATGTAATGATCTAGTCTTTGATATTTGACATTATTCTGTACATTTCGTCTTCTACGAATTCACTGTTGTTGAATAAAATTGTTTATACTTCATATTTTCTGCTACTAGTACTGTTAGTACATTTAAAACCCTAGGATTTGTCTTGATGATTCAATCTAATTGTGTTGATGTGGTGTAAAAACTTGAACTCACGCATATGTATTCCAGAACACATTTAGGCGTCCTACAATAGTTGTTTTCCTGAATTTGACTCATGAATCATGAGGTTATGTGTCAGTGTCTGTCATTGAAAAGTGTGCCAAAGAAGTACATAAACCTTGTACAAAATCTCTGCCCAAACACTACAGGTCGAGTGAGAGCTTATGGCGAACTGTCACCGGGATTCTTTACTTCAAGTGGTGTCCGTCAGGGATGTCCACTCTCTCCATTCTTGTTTAATTTTGTCATAGACATGCTCCTAGATATAACTTTATCCTCGTCTGAATTTTCAGTAGACCTTTTACCAGAACGCTCGCTTATCGACAGAATATGCCGATGACATAGTCCTACTTGGTGAAGACGCTGACAAAATGCAGAGTCTTCTGACCACCCTAAGCAACAATGCAAGCATGTTCGGGATGCGGTTTTCCCATCGAAATGCAAAATGTTGCTTCAGGATTGGCTTGTATCGGCACCTGAACTAGAAATAGGGAGTGAAGCACTCCACTTATCTTGGGAGTCTCATCAGTGCTGATGGCACGATGTGTCACGAAATTTTATTACCGATACAGAAGACTCGATTGGCATTCGCCAACCTACTTAATGGCTGCAAGATATGACCAGTCAGAGAATAAGATATTCGAGGGTTACTGGTTTTCTATCATAGGTGTCTCCGAAGCATTGCTCGTGTATCCTGAGACCACCGAGTAAGTGATGTTGGTGTTAGAAAAAGTGTTTTAGGTAGGGATGGCAAACCAATTGGTTAACTATTGAATCTTCGTCAGTTGAGGTGGTTGGGACATGTGCTGCGTATGCCTAACCACCGATTGCCTCGTCGAGCTATGTTTTGTGATGTAGGAATAGGTTGGAAGAAAGCTAGGGGCGGCCAGACCAAAACATGGCAGAAGTCCTAGAAGTCCACTGAAAAGTGGGCTGAGTCATATCGGTAGTTGTCGACTACCTGGTTGGGGCCCGCGAGATGTTAATAATCGTTGGTTAGAGACCCTGAATAACATGGCTCAAAGTCGTTTACAATAGCGCAGCTATATCCACTCTTTGTGTTCTCTCAAATTCTAACCTTCTGAATTCCTCATCACTTTTATCTTTTTCAAGTTTGTTTCACTAGATTCTCGGACCCTAATCTCTCCGATTACTGCTAATACTTCTACTACCTCTACTACTATGGGATTTGAATTGAAAATCGCGTCTCTGTGTTAACGTGGTACGGCAACTTGAACTGATGTACTTACTTACGAAGTTCTACGTTGCTGTTGATTGATGGTGATATGTATTCCAGGTTCTATGTTATGTATGACTGACCAAACATTTCACTTGCGCTCTTATTCTGAAGGTACTTGATTTTGAAATGAGCGAGTAAGGAGACAAGTTCTAGAGCTTTGCATATTTACGTTTTTAAACCTATTGTATCATACATGAGCCAGCAGTTGATGGATATACTTAGAAATACCTGTAGAATAAAAGAAGACATTAAAACCTTAAAGTATCCTTAATTTTGCACTATGGATTCTGTGAAAGTTAATTTCAGCTAACAAGCTTATCGAGACAGTACATTGCTTATTGGTCGTTTTATATGCTCGTCACGTTCGAGCGAACCTGCTTCTACTCTAAAGTCAAATGTGCTTTTGAACAGAACCATTAATCGAGCAGAATGTGGGAATGTTCAGACGTTAAAACTGACTTCTGGGAATCAAAAACCAACAGTCAGTCAGATGCAACGTAGAACTTCGTACGTAAGTACATCAGTTCATGTTGCCATACCACATCAGCACAGAGATATAATTGTCAATTCAAATCCAATACTAGAGGAGGTAGTAAGGGTATTAGAAGTAATCGGAGAGGTTAGGATTAGAAGATATTATTCAAGAAGTATGATTCAGTGAGAAAAGTTTAGAAAGACAAAACTAGAAGGGTTGACAGACAGACAAATACAACGCAGAACTTCGTACGTACGTACATCAGTTCAGGTTGCCATGCCCCATCAGCACAGAGACGCGACGGTCAATTCGAATCCAAGAGTGATAGCAATAATAGAAGTATTAGCAGTAATAGAGAAGATTAGGGAGCGAAGATATGCAGTTTTTAACTAAGATAATGCTTCGTCTGTAAGACATTTCTTAAAATACTACGAACCGAAATTTTTGGATTAATTTCTATCTTTTTGGTGGTAATTGATTTCTGTTTTTTTTTAAATCATTAGGGTTCATATCCGCAATCATCTCCAATATGGTTTTCCGACTCCGACGATACATTTATAACACAAATTTTTCGTGGACTGCAAACTGTCGAACCAAGCAACTATACGGTAAATTATTTTCTTTAGTCGAATTAGTTATGATAATTCAATCGTCTTGCAGATTGATCGTCAAGTAAAAATACTTGTAACTGAATTATGTCGGTACAAAAATTTACCCAGCCCTCCTGAATTAAATAATCTCTGTCCAGATTTCATTCCTGAACCTGTGAGTTTACATTTGTTCTCTCAGATCAATATTTTATCAGGTACACAACAGAATCGCAAATATTTGTAGCTCATCCCTTAATATTTTGTAGTTTTGTCTCATTTCGGGTTTCAATTTTTATGTACTTTGCTTCTAACGTTATTTTCAATGTCATTTTCAGTATGATTTTTCAGGAAATTCAGATTTACATTCAATATCTATTCTTATAAACGATATTTCTCACTACTCTTCATGCGAGGTGTTTGTAACATTTTAAAACTTGTTTATTCTTATCCATCCAGTGATTTGAAAGCATCATGTTTTCGGCTCAGTTAGGAATGGTTTACAAATACCTAGGTATTCTCGACTGATTCTATTTTTCATCAGCTTACAGTAAAGATAACCTTAAGGCTAACTTTGAAAGCTGTATCTACCAAAACAAGCTCTAAAAGCGATAAATCTCAAGAAAAATATTTGCAAGTTTACTTATTGTTTAGATAACCTTCCTTTCCTGAGTATTTTTTTGTTAATCTGTTCCAGTTACAGCTTCCAGTTGACACTATTTCTACCGTTGAACCTCGTCAAGAATCTTCTGGTGATGGGAATAGCGATGCAGAAGATACTGGTTTCGAAGATGAAGATGTGATATTGAATGATCCATTTGAAGTTTCGTAAGTTTTACAGTTAATAGTTGATCTTGTTTTTTTTCCATTGCTACTGCTATTAATACTATTTCTTTGGCAAATATAAGTAAATTGAGAAATCATGTTTATTATATTTGGAAATGGAACTTAGTATAGCTATTTCTTTTTAGCTCAGAACTTCTTGTTACTCTTAGCATAACTTGAAATGTGTAACTATTATCAGGCTGAAATGGACTCACTATTCGCCGTTTACTAAACCAAAACTACTCAGTGGTCTAAACGTGCAATTTTAGACTGTGGGATAACAGATTCAAGCCCTAGCTCGTTAGTTTTGTTTTGAACATCCAGGTTATATCTGTAGTCGTCACGTAATTATACCTTACAGATTAGTACATAAAAATGCTACGTTCGTACTCTAGGCTAATTATTTTCAACTCCACCGTCAATAAGATAAGCAAAACTGCTTCCATCCTCCCCTTCCCTACCCACTAATTAGAATGAGAAGTTCTAGATTGTATATAAGCTTTCCTTAATAGAGACCCTCAAAAGAAATAATTTACATTCAAGTTAATCCCATTATGTTTAGACAGAATTACTAATTTAAAAAATTTTGCATTCGTCACTTGAGCACTAAATAAAAGTAATCATAATAAATAAATGTATAAGAAATTAAATAACTTCGTACTGAGTAACCTTCCACAAATATTCAACATGTTTATTCCACACCAGTCATCAACTATTTTATTTAGATTTCCCGATTGCTTAGTCAACTTTGTTCAGCATATCGATACCATCTGCTTGTCCAAGTTTATATTGTAAACAGTCTCATTATTATCACAGTTTAAACATTGGTATTTCCTTTTTCAATTATTGTCGGTATAATTAATGAGTTTTGCTCAGTAAAAACTATATATATATATATATATATATATATATATATATATATATATATACGATATATATACTGTAATTGTTTGGAAAAGGCTGATTTGTGAATCAAATGCTAATTTATGCTACTAATTTGGCTGTCTGTTATAACTGTGAAGTAACTTGTACTTGCTAATTATTACGATGTAACGAGACTGATTTGCCGACACAAGAAAGAAAACAAGGCTATAGAAGCAGGCTGATTTGCTCATTAAACACTAATTAAAACAACCTCCACAGTAATAATAATAATAATAATAAATTACATGTAGTTGTTTGGTAAGGCAATAAATTTAAGTGAATTAGGCTGAGTTAATCAATAATTTAATGTGTGCATAGAATTCACAGAATCAATAAGTTCACTAATCTGTCTGAGAAAAGTATCTCACCACTGAACTAAAAACATTTTTCCTTCCCCAACATGTCTAGATGTATAATGGTTTGTTTTTGTGAATTTATCTGTTATTTTTTTATTTGATTAGTATTACGGGAGACGATCGTCCTGAATACGATGGTATTTCATCTCAAGATGCTGAGCAGTTGGAAAAACTCAAGGCCACACAAATACAAGTATGTTCCTTTGTCATATAATATAACTGAATGCTTATTGCTAGAAAAAAAATAGTTTACTGAGACCAGAGCAGATGCATTGTTACTTAATCCAACCTCATTCGTAGTTATTTGTCATCTCCTACATCTGTTTATCCATAATTTTGTGGTTAGATGGTAATGAATATGAAAATATTCATATGTATGCAAATAAAAATGAATTTGTCAAAGATTCTTCGCTAATTCAGTACCAAAATGTTAGTTTGAGATGTGAAAGTAGGTACAAACTATCTGGTTGGAAATTTCTGCGACTAGCGGCTGTAGGGGTTGAGTGACGCGTGTCAGAATTAGTCGAAACAGACCAGATGCATTCACTCTTGATCTTCCTCCAGAATATAAATTCTAGTACATAACTTTTCTTTGCCTTTTTAAACAGTGATTTTGATTACTTCGCTATTCACCTTTCTGAATTCATCTCATCTTGCTGATGTGTTATGAGAACTTGGTTCAATGCATATTCGTCTCAGATGCTTGATCATAGCTAACAGACTAACTCTATTAATTAGTGTATTTCTCTGTTACCGATATCATGCAATCTTCTACTGACGTTTATCATTGTTATTATCATGATTTCAGGGCGTTACTAAAGGTTCAATCCAGTCATCTGACCGTTTGATGAAAGAGTTAAGAGAGATTTATCGATCAGACAGTTATAAACAAGGTGAGCTATTCTTGTTAACCTTTTTTTCACAGAAAAATATCTTTATTTGCTAACTGAATAGTTTTTTGATCTAATTTTTGCAAATGGTTTTTGTTTCAATTTGAAATGCATCATTTATCCTTACAGCTCGCATTCAACTGATAAAATAGCCATAAATATACACTACGTTTGTGCGTTCATGAATGACCTAAATTTCGGTAATATAGCTACGGCAATGACTGACAAGCATTGTTTTAAGTCGATAATAAATGCGTGCACTATTTGTTTGGTTGTACACTATAAAATAATCGTCCCCGTCTATTCAACGATAAATTCATTTCAAGAGTAATCATCATCGAATTAACTGTACTATCCATTATATTCAACGAACACTACATCCAACCAGTTTATGCCATTTTTCCCCTACTAATTCAAATTATTATGTTCATTTCTTTTTAAATACTTTACTTTTTCTAGGTATTTTCACTGTTGAACTACAAAATGACAGTCTTTATAATTGGAAAGTTAAATTATATAAGTAAGTATGCTTTTATCTTATTTTCATTTTAATTTATTTACTATAACTCTGTTGAACAACTGGCTTCATAAGTGCAGATATCTATGCCTTTTTGATAAATAACAATGCAATATGTTACATACATTTGAAAATTGTTGGATGATGAAATTGGGTCCTTATATCAAGTAGTAGGTAGTTGTAGTTGATTCTTTCCCCTACAAACTTTAATGAGTGACATCATGAAGGTTAGAATAAAAAATCCGTTCATTAAATGCAATGTAAACATTACAATCTATACGTCTCTTAACATCTGTAGTCAAACACAACATGGAACCTGGTACATATCTACATTGGTTGGAGGTATAAGGACAGCTATCACTTCTCAGCTACCCACACTGCACAAGGATATTTCTTTTTGAGGAACCTGAAAATGAAGTTAGGTAAGCTTAGGTCTTAGCGACCTATGGGCGTGACTGCAGAGCCAACTGCGGTCACAACTACTTAAAACCGGTCACACGCGGTCTTTTTATGGGAAGTTTTTGGTGTTTTAACTCCACACTTCAAAAGGTCTTATGGCCGGGGACAGAAATCCATGAGGTAAGGTGAGATGTGAAATTTTGAGGACCGACCTCTAACCCCTTCCTTTCGTTATGAAAAAGCAGCGTTGCTGCAGATCCTGGTTATCTGAAGTAAACACATTACTACTGACTTCGCTCTCAGGCTAGCTACTTTTAGTCTTACTGTCCTCCAATCGTCGTGGCTGACAAGGTAGGACTTGAAGGAACACGTGTTTCAGGCTGGTTAGTTAATAATTCGTGCTTGGCATAATCCTACGCATAAACACTAGATTATACATTGATAAATTTACTACCATACTAGATAATACAATGACCTGCTAGTTTGACTTGATCACCAGATAATAGACTAGGCAATAGATCATGTGGTACTTAACGGTCAAAGTTCAAGCTCCAAATGAAAAATAGATTTCGAAACATTAGTTTATTGACATAGAGCACAGTCAGTCAATATAGTGAATTCCGAATAAAATCAATAGTGGAATAAATTTACAATATTATATAGTTTCATCTATACGGTGTGCCTAGGCCTGTCCATCTACTCTCGTTAGCCAGTTATATCTCAGATTCATCAGATTGATTTTGTTGTTTTCAGTTTTTCCCAAGAGGCAGTGATAGTACTAATAATAAATTCTGCTTAAATGTCTCGTTGACGTCATCCTGGATATTTTAAATGATTTTTTTGAATCTTTCTACAAATTGTAGATTTTAACGACTATCACTAGCTCATACTTTCTTCAGAGTTATTTCTAAAAATATTTTATGCATTAATTAATTAAAAAATGTTTAAAACCGAGAAAACATGTTTGACTGAACTATCGATTAGTATTTTTGTATAAAATCTCAAACAGACCACGCAGTATCTCAGTAGCAGAAACAATTGCGCTTGACTGAGCCACAGATATTACCCCTGTTTCTGCAGCATCAACGTAGCAAATATTGCAAATCTTTATAAATTCAGTCATTGTATAGTTTGTATTTTACTTTCCTTGGTTTCATCGCTTTTGAACTTCTTCTAATTCATCTATTCTTTTTGAACTATTTATTTTATGTCTCTACTACTGACATACTACCATAATTTTGTCTTGTCGTGCTAACTTAGTATAAAAAATTTTACTAACGTAAATATATACCATAGCCTTATACTGATATGATTGACTGACAATTGGATAATATAACACTGTTAGTAGTCTAATTAATTTTTATTACACTCATTCTGTATCTTAAAATAGAGTAGCTCATATTGTCTCATAACTAAAATTTTGTGAATACACATCTTTATCTTTATCTTTAAATAAATATAGTTAAGAAGATATATGTAAGCAGTTTCGGTGATCATTTTTTATACGTTAATTTTACAAAAAGCATTCAGTTTATTTTTTTTTTTAATTTGTTATATATGTATATTTGTTTGTTTTTTTTTTTAAAAAAAGAGTTGATGAAGATAGTGGATTGCATAAAGATCTTCAAGAACTAACAAATCATCCAAAATTGGAAGATCATTTAGGATTACAATTTCTATTCACAGTTAGTTGTTATTTATGTTATGTGTTTTTAATGACGTGGTTGCTTGAACATTCTATAATTTATCACTAAAACAAATAGGTTCCTGTTTGTATATAAGAGTTACTTGACAGGATGAAGTTGTACGATTCAAATTGTAAAATGTATGACAGGTGTTCAGGTATAATGATTTAATACGCTTTCATTGAATACATATATAGTGTTGGGCAATGAATTACTTCCCGAGACTTTGACATACAGTTGGTTTTTATGTCTAGTCTGTTCTGTACTTCATACTTCACTGACCTCTGCCTCTCTAGCATTACCTTAAATTCCCACCAATCATGTTGGACACATAGTCTCTCACATATATCTTGGTTCCGGGCGTGAATTCATCAATTCAAACGAATAGAAGTAGTTGTTTTATTGGAATTAGGCCGTCCAATTCCGTCCATTCTTTTTCTACCAATTAAAAGTTTTCTCAGTGAGAATCCTCCAGTTGTTGATGGGTTTAGCATAAGGAGTAACTTTGAAATTTCACTGATTACTCCTTTTCGTGGCTCTTGGTTAAGCCCTAACGTTTAACAAACTATTTTCCCTTTCTATTTGATTGTTGCGCGTGACAATGCAAGAGTATAACTTTTTCATAGAATTTTTCAGATAAAGATATCGTAAACTATATAACATTGTCCGAAACATTTTTTACGAGATTTTGTGCTGACCGAAAAGTGTGCTATGTTAAATTTGCATCTACTAAGAGGGTAAACATGGTAATGTTAACTCAGCCTGCGAAGCCGATACAAATTCGTGATCATGGCATCTTGGTTGTATTTAGAGTTGTCAGTCATTCAGCCAACTACAACGGAGAACTTGGTACTTACGTACATCAGTTCAGGTTGTCACACCACACTGACACAGAGAGACCGATTGGTCAATTCAAATCTGATAGTAGTGGAGATAGTAGGAGTATTAGCAGTAAAGCAGAAGGTTAGGGTTCGAAGATATTATTCAAGAGGAGTAATCCAGTGAAATAGATTTGAGACGAGAAAGATGAAAGTCATGAGGAGTTTAGATTAGAATTTGGGAGAACACAAGCAATAAATTCATCTGCGCTATTGCAAACAATTTTGAGGCATGTCATTCAAGGTCTCTAACCATCGGTTACTATTATCTCGCGGACCCCAACCAAGGTAGTCTACACCTATCAACACGGCTCAGTCCACTTGTCAGTGACTTCATGGATTTGTGCCATGTTTTGGTTTGGCCTCCCCTAGCTTTCTTCCAACCTACTCCTACATCGCAAAACGTAGCTCGACGAGGCAGTTGTTGGCTAGGCATATGCAACATATCCCAACCACCTCAACTGATGAAGATTCAGTACCTTATTGACTTGCCATCATTAACCAGTACCCTTTTCCTAACCCCAGAATTGCTTACTCGGTGGTCTCAGGATATACAGGAAATGCTTCGAAGACATCTATGATCGAATACTAGTAGCCTACGAATATCCTCAACTCTTACTGGCAAAGTTTCACACCCATATAGTAGGATGGAGCGAACTGCTGCTGCACAATAGACTCGTCTTTTGCTTAGCAGACGGATATCTCGCATGCGCCATAGGTGACGTAAGTTGGCAAAAGTCAGTCACTTAAAGTCGACTAATTTTAGCTGTCCAGTGTTTGGTTAATCATCACTTTTATCATATTTAATGCTTTGTGAAAAAATCGACCAGTGATTTTCTGTGCTTTATAAGAATATCAGATTTATCTTCATTGTCATTGTATAATTTTTATTTTAAACAGGAAACCTATCCTTTTGAACCTCCATTTGTACGTATTCTCTATCCAGTAATTGAAAATGGTTATGTTTTAGCTGGTGGTGCGATTTGCATGGAATTATTTACTAAACAAGGTTGGTCAAGCGCCTATGATATTGAATCATCTATTATGCAAATAGCTGCAACTTTAGTAAAAGGTCGTGCACGAATAAATTTCAGCGCAACAAATGTAAGTTGTATTTTTTGTTGTTGCTGTATATATTTTACTTTTACAGTTGAAATTGTGTTAAGTCTTTCATACTTCAAGAATGTTGGAATTAATCTTGCACAAGAAGAAATAGTTGATTCTGATTAATCAACTCTGAATATCTTTAAGGATATTGGTTCAATGTTAACAGTTGTTAGATTGTGTCAAATATTTCCTAATATCTGGAAGCTGGATGTAATTCTAACAAACAATCTTATTTATAAGACAGGCAATCACAGAAAAAGCATTTTGATAAATACCTTTTTTTTCTAAGATACTGATTGTGATAATCATACGGAGCCTTAATTTAGAGCCTAGCATCAGGAAATCTGAGAAAATCAAGGAGTTTTCATACATACCGCTAAATGTATTAACTAAATCAACAGAGATATCTTTTCTCAGTGTTTATGATCGAATTGCATTCAAATAGTAAACATATCAATCTAATGAAGGCTTCTAAAAATAACAATTTGTTTATCTAACCTTTCTAGCAATCATCTCCTACCTGAAAATTATGACTTACAGTTGATACCATTCTGTTTGGTAGTGTTGATAGAATAGGAAGTGTTCCAGCCACCGTAAGTGTACATTACATAAGATCGTTCACAAAAGGCATAGACAGACTATTAAGTTAGGGTAGTCATAATTCAAGATCAGATTAACCAGCCTGTGCTAATATTTCGGCTTTACACCGATGTATATCTCGGACTATCGTAGTGTATGCGCGCGCAATAACGATATACCGTAATCGGGATTACACTAGTGGTCAACATATAGGTTTTATCTAGAGAAAGAACAAAAAATACCAGCACATGTCCAACTAAAATTTTAAAACTTTACTAACCATTTTTTATCTTCATTTTACAGTGTTAGATTAACTTTTTTTTAATAGGATCAATATTCACTTCGCCGAGCTCAACTTTCCTATCGAGGTCTAGTTCAAATTCACGAAGAAAGTGGTTGGTACACCCCACCAAAAGCAGACGGTTAAAAATATTCCCATCATACTGTTAATGAACATTGTCTGTATGCATTTTATACAGACAACAAACAATATGTCATCCAAACTACTATATATATATACACACTTATATATTCAGAGGACAAACACACAACCTTTTATCAAGGAATGATAACATAGGATAGTTTCCTTTTATGTGTTTGGTTTTTTTGCATTTCCACCCACTTATTCTGATGTGTTGTCCTTTGATTGTATGTGTGTGTGTGTGTGTGTGGAGTGTATTGTGTTTGTCTACACACGTGATAGAGTATCTTTCTGTACTCAGTGTTTCTATGACAGTCTATATCTTTCTTTTTCTTTTTCTGACGAAAACATTCATATGTATATTGTGTCTTGGTTTATTTCTCCTTTTTTTCTGTATACACATTCAGTCCCATACATACATAGTATTTTATCCCTTCATGCTACACTTGCATACTCTTCTTTCAAGCTAATCATATCTACCGGCTATCGATAGATATATATTTATATATATATATACATATATACATATATCACTTTTGTTAATATCAATGATCTTAATATGCTTGCTTCCCTTTAGACTAGAACATTGTATTATTTTTATCTTATTGTTTTAACCTTTTCTCTTTAAACGTATACAATAGTTTCATAGACATACATTTTTTTGGTTTACTATAATTTTTATAACTTCTTTGTCTAATCTTGTACATGTATATTATTATTTCTCTCACATATGGACTATAAATTGATCTCATCTATCTATCAGGTGTAAATGATATCATTTATGCAAAATAAGAATGTTTTTTTTTCTGACGTTTCATAAATTGCACAATTTATCTTTTTTGATTTCAACAAAAAAGTGAACTAACAACATTGAACAGTTTATTTATTGTCTCTCATTCCTTCCACTTCACAACCATTCTCTTTCTTTATCATATTCATGATAGGTTTTCAGTTGCTTTTGTTGTCGTCCTCGTCGTCTCCACAAGTGTATACATTTAGTGTTTGTCTACAAGAACAACATGAATTCTTTTTTTCCTTAATTCCATATTCTCTCCTTTGCAGTGGTTGTAATCTCCATACTCTAATGCACAAAAAAATTATTGATGAATATCCATTGTCTTCCATGTTGTTCATGTGTTATTTGTGTTTATTTTCGGATTAGTCTATTGAAATAATGACGAATTATTGATGAAGTAGTCTATTTTCTTTTTTTTTCATCATTGACTCTTTTTTTTTCTCTTATTTTATTTATATAAAACATGTCAACATTGTTTTTGTTCACTTCAAAAAATTGAACATGTTAATATAATAATAGGAAGGAAAATAAAGCCAGAGAACAGCAACAGTTTGAATAATAGTCAATCAATGTAATTCACTTGCATCTTATGATACATTTTGTTTTTTGTGTGTAATTTAACTCTGTCTCATTTCTAATTGCTTATACACACTATTTGATGTGATATTATTAGTAATGGTGATTATTCTTCTAATATGCTTATCATTGTTGTGTTCCTGTATAAAAATTGATTATATAATGACTGTTTTTATTTATTAGATAATTAAAAATTTCACTTTTTTTTATTGTGTGAATTGTATTGTTTGCTGTGTGTAAATGAAGTTGTTTTATATAGTTAGGATTATCCGATTGTTATGCTCGTCAATTGATATGCTTGATGAAAGTGTTACGAGTTCATCTTAGTCGATAAACGAGAACAAGACAGGGACACGATAGGCTACTCTAATCCGTTGCCGAGTCTAACTGAAGAAGAAGTCTTGATATAACGTAGAAAGTGTATTCTACAAGCACCCAGAAAATATCATGTTCTCAAGCATACAAATCGAGTTTATTTATACATCATAGAAACGTCCTTGGGAGAGCCACAAAAATAGCGTACTAAAATAACACATCAACCAATGACAGTCAAGGTGGGAAATGTAATCTCAAGGTCAACTGATCAGCCCATGAATAAAATCCAAAATTAGGATATTTATCAAGTGAGTTCTGAGGATCTAAGATGATAATAAAACAAGGGCAATGGAATAGTGGAAAAAAAACAGTTTAAAGTTACTTTCTATGAGCCCATTCTTTGTAAACTGTTAGTGATCATTTTCTATTTCATTTTTCAAAGTTACCAACTACGAATTACTCTCGTTAGTTACTAATTTCAAACAGCGATTCCTTAAATTTTAGTAAAAGGCTATGACTGGTAGAGTGCTGTCGTGTAGCGTTTTTTTAAATAGATTTTTAAGTGTTGAGTTTTACTCAAGTGATAACTTTATAATGTTGCGAATGGACTGAAGTTGTAAATTTAGACCATTGGCTGTCAATAAAACGAGTGATCTAAAGGTATCACACTCGCTGAGGTATTGAATTCTATCCCGAATTGAGTCGTAGATATGCAATATTTAGAAATCCTATGCTAGAATGAAACATCTGTCTAGCGTTTTGTCGTTTATAGTTCAAAAGTTATGTAGATAGTAGTGCTCTTTGTTTACAGTTATTTATCATTTGTAGACATCTAAATTATAAATACCTGCTTGTACTTTTATAGTGAGATCCTCACTTGTTAATTAAAATTTTTTTACAAGTCGGTGGTTCATGAGAATTGTTACATTTTGAAGATTACACTTCACTATCGGATAGAGGAGAACGAGAACAAGAGGATACTGGACTAATCTTTCGTCATGGTTTAGATAAAACTACTGGACTGCTTAATAATCGTAATTGAATAAAACGAGACTCAGATTGTTGGATTTTACGAAGCATTGATTTAGATATTGCTATCCATTATTTCATGTGAAGAGAATTATGTCAAGTATGTACATACCTGTAGTCATATACATTGGTAAATTAGTTTCTGAAGTCCAAATAAATTTATCGACTGCTTTCTTTTTTTTGTGTTCAACCGTGAAAAAAATTTGACAATTGAATTGTCCTTATCTTTAACTGTGTAATCGGTTGAGATTATTCATAGCAGTTTTAATATTTAAAACGTTTGTTTCATCCAACAAATAGAACTAATTTTCCATTCATTTACTTCCTCAATGCTGCACATCGGTGTATAATTCTCATTCAGGATTTCAAGATTCTGTAATTATCTGTAACTCTTCTAAGAATTCATCAGCGTAGATTTGTTCGACTTATTTCGAGAAAAACACTTTGTAAAAATGAGCCTCTAAAACTAATCTTCTGATGAAAATTACACTTAAATAAATATGCAGCAATCATAAACTAAATGAGCTGAAAAATAGCCGAAAGCACTAAGTACAATTGAGTATCGTAAACATTGCAGGTAAATAGTTAACTTTACTCTTTTTATTCTTGTTTGTTTGTAAGAGGTAAGGAAGGATTGATAGTTTTACCTTAATAATACGGTATATATATATATATATATATATATATATCGAGAGAGAGAGAGAGAGAGAAAAGGAATATAACCCTCTATAAAAATGCTATATTAACCATGCACACACACACAATTGTACTTTATGGTTTATCATTCCAAAGACAAAAAATCAATAATCCTTATGAAATTCCATTTCATTCAGATTCGTTAGCTTCATTCTTATCATTTTTTGTAGTTGCCAGTAGGAATTTTAATACAGCCATCAATTTTTGTCCTTCTGTAATGTAAAAGTAATAAAATCATGAATTAATATGTGATCACAATGTTTTCTTTCTATTTTTCTGTTTTTATTAATGTTTAATGGAAATTTTATGAATTTCAAGTGTCTTGCCGAATTTATACTGATTTTTAGAATTTTGTTTTAAATTCATTCATTAACTACGTCATTCTAAATCTGAGTTCGCTTTAATAACAATAATAATAATGGTTTTATTCATTATTATATGTATAGTTCAATATGGAATTCTCAGCATGAAATCTTTCAACAAGTTTCTTTTGTAAAACATAGCCAGCCATGCCACCAATCTGTCGGAATGTGCATTTTTGTATCGTATGAAGCTGATAGATTGTAAACTTTTTATATACATGCCTAAATAAGTTATGCATATATTCTAGACAGAATTGACGTGTTAACATGAACGAAAAGAATGTAATTTTTAAAAAAATATTTTGATATTAGGAAACAGGTAGCCGAGATATTCAAGCAGTCCAAACTTTTCGATTGTTTCGTGTCTGTAATTAGTAAAAATATTTGAATAAACCAATGATTTTATTGGATATATACAAAATAGTTTAATGACATTTCAATAACTGGATTATTGATAGTAAGTAGATTTTTAATTAACTTAAAACTTAACAATAATATTTTACACTGTCAAGTTTCTGACTAAGATCAATGTCTTGTTTAAATATTCGTTAAACAATATCATTCTTACGATCCAAACTTTACTGTTTAGATAATCTGATGACGCTCAGCGTTTTGAACATAATTTTACCCTTTGCCGATATTTATACTCGAATGAGTACTAACTAGGATGAACCACGAGTTCTTCTGGTAATCAATATCCAACTCAGCTTAAAATTCTAGTTATTGTAGGATTGTGGTGCGAGCTACTTATAAGTTGTATATGACGTGAGCGTCAACGTAATGTCTGGCAGCAAAAGATGGGGGAAGATCAAGAAAGGAAGAGTGAGAACACAATGGAATTTGTATGAAACGCATGAATAGTGACAATGGATTAATTTTTTGCAACAGGAACAGTCCAGTTCGATATGATGAACTGATATTTTGCAAATTAACGATCTACTATATGGTTTTCCGATTTTACTGAGTAACTCTGTAATTTTCGTTAAATACAATTCGGTTGCCCCACCTGTGTTCTCGTTCACTACAGGATAACCTAAGTATGGACAGATAAATATGAAAAAGTGTAAACTGTTTATATATATTTGATGATATTGATCGTGAACTGATTGGAGTTAGACATCGGCACCATTGGATTGGAGGTTGTGGGTTCCAGCGCAAGACTGTATGTCCCAGGTCCAATCACTCGGTACGAAGTCATGAATGAGTACCAACGAATAGTCCCATACCAATATGAATTAGTCGTCCAGTGCTTACAGGTTTTCAATGTTTGTCTAACCTAGATCAGTATGTGGTCTCAGTGAAACAATCCATAATGCTCAGGTGATGAAAATGCCCAGATTTATTGACTGTCACCAGTTAATTAAAACAACGTTTGATTCAACACTGCACAACATAATGATTACTTAGAATGACAATAATAATAATACATAAAAAGGCATAAAGTACCCAAGAAATTTTTCATTTCTTCCGTTAGATTACTTAATCTAATCAAATTTTGTTGCATTTGTTGTTTCTCTGTTATTAACATTTTTTTACGCATATATTGATGCATACTAGTCGGTGGTGGGAAACGAATCAATGCAGGTTTAGGTAAAGCAATAATTTCTAAGAAATAACTTGATAAACCGCCAACAGAACCGGGCAGACATCGTTTTGCTTGTAAATTGAAATCTTTAAATTTTGAAAAAATTAATTTTGTTTTCAATTTTGTTGTGTTCTTGTTTAAATTATCTTTCCATAGATAGGCTATCGGTGCTTCACTTAATGCAGCTTTTAAATTACACAATCGATTCTCCTTATGTTTAATAACTGAATAATTGATACTTTGACGAGTTTGACTATTTTCAATAGTTGAATATTTCTTTTGTAAATGATGTTGTATACAATGTAAAGCGTCAAGTTTTAAAGGTTGACATGATTCTTGTTCATTGATATTGTCTTTTTCTTCACTTATTGTTTCAAGCCATGATGAAATATTTGGCTGGAAATAGAAATGAAAATCAATTTATAAAAAGTAAATTTAAAATATGAGAAATTGCGAAATGAGAACTTTTGTTTTATGTAGTAAAATTCATTTGTTTCTTTAGACGAATTTGAGTGATTTCAAGTGAGAATACGAAGGTGAATATTCTACATAGTATGGCGAAAACGATAAAGCAATTGAGATTGATGAAAGTATTTTATCGGTTAGTAGATGGCTTAATGGAATTTCAACTGAACTTGCCAAAGAACTCTGTAGTGCTACTCTTGTTAGGCATTTTAGAAAACTTATAAAGTGAACAAACATTTTTGCGTTAAGTGTCATTAGGAAATAATAGTTTAAACATGTTCTTCTATGATACTACTTGCTCACTGATTGATGATTAAATAACTAAACATTAAGTATTGTCAATCTGGATTCATGCGTGAATGTTATTTGATTGATAGGCTTCAAGTCTATTTGCCGTTCCCAATCGAAACTGTCATATTAAAGTTCGAACTTCAATCAGTCAGTCAGTTGCAACGTAGAACTTCGTGCGTATATATATAAGTTCAGGTTGCCATACCACATTATTAGCACAAAGACCCAAATATCAAATCAAATCCCATAGTGACAAAGATAGTAGAGGTATTAATGGTAATGAAGAAAACTAGGGTTTGAAGGTATTATTCAAGAAGTATAATTCAGTGAGATAAGGTTAGGAAGACAAAGGTAGAGGTGCTGACGAATCCAGAAGATTATGATTTGAGAAAGCTCAACGAATGGATGCACTTGCGCCATTGCAAACGATTTTGAGCCATGTCTTTCAAGGTCCCTAACGATTTGTGACTTTCGTCTCGTGGACCCCAACCAGGTAGTCTATATCTACCAACATGACTCAGCGCACTTGTCAATGACTTCATGTATTTCTGCCATGTTTTGGTCTGGCCGCCCTTAGCTTTCTTCCAATCTACACTTCACCACAAAACATAGCTCGTCGAGGCAGTCGGTGGTTAGGCATACGTAACACATGTCCCAACCACCTCAACTGATGAAGTTTCACCACTTCATCTATTGATCTGCCATCGTTACCTAGTACTCGTTTCCTAGCGACAGCATCGCTTACTCGGTTGTGCCAGGATACACGAGAAATGCTTCTAAGACATCTATGATCGAATACTAATAACCTATGAACATCTTCTACGCTTGACGGCCATGTTTCGCATCCATATAGGAGAGCGGAGCGAACTGCTGCACAATACACCCGTCCTTTGGTTAGCGAACGGACATCTCGCCTACGCCGTAGACGGCGTAAATTGGCAAAAACCAATCGGACTTTCTGTATCTGCGCTGAGATTTGTTCAGTCACCAGGCTATCATCGCTGATGAGACTCCCCATTTAAGTGAAGTGATCAACACACTCGACTACTTCACTCCCTATCACTAGTTCAGGTGCCGATGCAACCCAGTCTTGAGGCAACATTTTGCATTTCGAGGGGGAAAACCGCATCCCGAACATGCTTGCATTGTTGCTTAGGGTGGTCAGAAGACCCTGTATTTTGTCAGCGTCTTCACCGAATAGAACTATGTTATCGGCATATTCTAGGTCAGTAAGCGCTTTTCCTGGTAAAAGGCCAACCCCTGAAAAGTCTGACGAGCTTAATGTTAACTCTAAGAGGATATCTACGACAAAGTTAAACAAGAATGGAAAATTCGAACCTACGGCTACTTTGATAAAATCCATCAAGAACTGAAGTTTTCAACTTTTACAGATCATGTTTTACAGTAACAATACAGAAAAATAGAATGTATCAATAGATTTTGAATTAAACTACTTATATTGGAGATATATATTGTTGTTGATCTGGTTTTTGTTGTATTCAAATACATTGTCAACTCAATCTATTCATCAAAAGAACTTGAAATGTTTTTTCTGTAAAGCTCATTACCTTGATTCACAAGAATCTTGAATTATTTGAATGATTGACTGATCGATCAGGATTGTTATATGGACAGTGACTACTCGCAGTGCAATCCGGTTGAACTATTCCATTAGTTTTAAATCACGAATTTATGTTGGTTAGGCAGCCATTGAGAACTTGGAAGCATTGAACGAGTAATTCATATTAGTATGGGAATACCCAGCAGTGTTCTTTCATGACAATGTATACCCGGTAGTCGAACCCGGGACTTCCGGTCTCTCACTCTAACAAAACCTCCAGACTACAGAACTGGAATTCAATGGTTTTGATTTCTAACTCCAGCCAATCCATGATTTTGTGCAACATTCATCTATGCCTGCAGTGAGCAAATGTCTCATTTCTGATACGGTTAAACTCCGATGGACTCAGCCTATCGCCAAAACTCCAGATCAATCTTTGTTATGCTTCAGTGGCCTAAAGCTTAAGCAGTCTCTCGCACAGAACCGAAGGTCTTGAGTTCAAATCCCGCACGTGAGATCTTGGATGTTCACTGCTGAGGAGTTCCATACTAGGCCGAAGTGGAATCTAGTGTTTTCAAACAATGAACAAGGTTGGAATTATCATAGATTGATTTAAGTTAGACATGAAGATCGTTAGCTGCTGACTCAATAGTCGAATGTTTTATAGCTCGTACTCAACATCAAAGGTCATAGGCTTTAATTCCTGCTTGCAGGGCTGTGGATACATACTGCTGATGAGTCTCATGTTAAGACGAAATGGCCATCCAGTGCTTCCAAGCTTCTAATAGTGGTCTAATATTAATCGGTTCATGAGTCCAATGAATCGTGACAATCTTCACAACCCTATAACGACTTCAAAACTGGTTACAAAAAGTAATTTATTCACTTATCGTTATCAGTAGTATATACTTACGAAATTCATGAGATGAATCAATAACATCCTAAATACTGAAGTTTGTAATGGATTTTTTTGAAATTACCTGATTATAGTTTTTATCAGAGAAAAAGATTAAATTAAATGTTGTTATCACAATGTAATCATGCACATGGAAATGAACACATTAACTTTTTTGATGCTCAAATTTGAACTGGTGCACATCTTCACGTGTTTTTGCAATCATATTTTTTTTCGTGTAATAAATATGTAAAATATTTAAATTTTTTTACCACGGAAACTTAAAACAAAATTTTTTTTTTGATTTCACGCTTGAATTCTCATAGAATACACTGACCTTAAATTTGTTAGAAAAATTCAGAAAGATAATTATCTTTTCAACCACATGTTATTGACTGGTAAATAATTTTGAGTAACTTTTTCAAATGTATGAGATTGTTTCTTTTTCTCATGGAAAACGGGTCATCTGTTTTTTTTATGGTTAAGATCAGGAACCGATTTCAGTTAAACAAATATTGAGAACCAAGAAATACTAAACTATTTCATCGTGATATGTAACTACTCAGCAATGCACCTGCACAACTCCACCGAGGATCAGATACCACAACGAGACTCTAGACCACTGGACCAGCACCCAACGGTCTACATTCCTAACTCTGACTGTTCGTGTTATTGTACACCCATTTTCCAAAGCCACAAACTCAGCACGATTGAACTCCACTGGTCACACTGGGTAATGTGTAGTCACTGTTGAGTAGTTTCGCACTAAGATGAAATATCTATCTAGTGTTTTCTGGTTTTCTGTGGTTGATTAACAAAGACCAGTCGATGAATCAAACTATGAAAACTTCACCATCTTCATAAAACCCTCTATTATAGTTTCTTTTTTAAAAAACTAGCAAAATTGTCTTCCAACTTTGTGACAATACAACAAAATGGACTAATAAACTCCGAACTCTTTTGTTGACACTTGTTTTAATGAGGATAAAAAAATACTTGTGCTTCTTTTATCTTGTACACAAAAATCCACTAAATCAATACAGTAAATTTAATTATCCACTATGATTAACTTACTTTGACCACTTCAGCATTGATCTGGTCTTCTTTGGCTTCTACCTCTTCTATAATATTTGTTGAATCATTCTGATTAGAAGTTAAAGATACAATTTTATTTTGATGAATAACTGGTAAAAGTGGAGATAATACTGTTGATGGTTTCATCAGTTCTGCTTCTAAAAAATCTGTCTCATCAATTAAATCATGTAATGATGCTTCATTCTTCTGTTCTTGTTCCTGTTGCTCTTGCCGCTGTTGTTCGTCATCTTCTTCCTCCTCTCTTCTTTTCACTTTACTAGAGTGTTTTCGATAAAACATCAAACTTTGCCTTCGTTCGTTTCGACTTCGTCTAGCTAATTTTCTTGATTCTTTGTATAAACGATACATTTTAATTGCGGTCTTAATAATAATAATAATGAGAAAAATTATGTTTACCGATAAAGTTTCAAAAACAAATGCCAAACAATAATAATTTCACTAATTATCATAGAATAATAATTATCTTTGTGTTTCTGACAGTTGAAAATTCAGATTTAGAAAAAAATATCTCATCTCATGTGCATATTATCAATTGGAGTACGGTGAATGTTGTATTGTTGAACATCATGTGACAGATCTAGGCCGGTAATACAAGTTTATAAATTATTCAGTGTATTTTTAAATAAACATCACAATGAAAGTAATTTTTAATACAGATTGACTTTATTTAGAGAATTATTGAAATTTGAAGAAAAACTTGATTATTATTGGCTAGATGTGAAACAGAAAAATTGATGCAAAACGTGGAAATCTAAAGACCACACTAATGTGAATTATCATGCATTTTTTTTGGTGTGTATTTGCTAAATATTTATTTATAACATTTGTATATTGACCTGAATATTAACTCTCATTTAATCCATTAACTACTGATATATATTTCTACTGCCAAACAAGCTACAGTTAATTATCTACCTGTTACTAATTTTTATTCTACACATTACCTAGATTTTTAAAGATTGTGATTTAGCATTCCTTATTCACTAATGTCCTGAAATTCCCGACCGAAGCTGCTACCTTGACGCGGTGGTCGGTCTTACCTATCGTCATCACCCAACCAAGCTATATTGGCTGGAACTTATGTTCCTGAAGGTTCTACCATGCCAGGCAGGTCGACTGGAGAACGATGAGACTAAAAGCAGCTACTCAAGGTCTGAGGGCGAAGTCGTACTGCTGACTGTAGAGGGGTGTGACAGCAGTAAGGTGTTTCCCTCGGACAACCAGCATCTGCAGCGATGCTGCCTTCTCACAAGGAAGGAAGGGTTAGAAAAGGTTGAACCTAAAAATGTCACACCTCACCTTACCTCACGGATTTCCGTCTCCTTGGGTAAGGGTGACCACTAAGGGCTTCAAAAAGAGCGGGGCTAGTACTCAAAAAACTTTTCATCAAAAGGTCGTGCGTGACCGGCCTCAAGCAGTTGTCCACGGTGTGGGCAGGCGGGAAGTGACAACCGCCCTCATACCCATGCAGTGTTCGACTGAATGGGACAGTAAGGACTCGGAAAGATAGGGACACTCGTCGTATCTGATATCAATCAACAATTAAAACTGAATCTCAACCTGAGTAAACTCAGTAAGTCACCTGACTTGATAATCGTCAAATTAAAATATCAATAAGTTATCAATTAGTTCAAAGAGTTCACATCATTCAGTGGAATTATTCAAATCCTATTATGACTAGCAAACTTATATTTTATACTTAAAAAGAAGATAAGAACTGATGTCCAATTAGCGATTTACATCAATGGTCTATTTTCAATTAAAAACAATAAAATTGCTCAAAATCTCTGATCACTTTAAATTCTTAGTTCACTTAACTCCTACAAATTATAACAATATAAGTTTGTTTGTTTTTGTGCGGTTTTAAGTATAAAAATATAAATTTCATGTTTATTCTTTACTTTCATTATCGATGTTACAGACAGTTGATGAATGTAGACAATTGTCGATAGATGAATATTGATCATTTATTAAAAATAACTTTCATTGATATTAATGTCACTTCATATATAGTATTTTTTCAAGTTGTACATCATATTTTGCAGGTCATATTATTAAGACTATTGAAAATTGCATCTAATCAGCTAATTAACATGTTGATGAAATGAGCATATTAAATATTTAGATCTTGACTTAATTTGTTGTTGAAGATAGGATAAACATTAGTTGACATTATAAATATAAATACGAATTTCCCTTATATCGTTCATCAGTAACTCATTTGGATTATCTATAAACTGTTTATTGATCTCTATGGCTAGCTAATGGAAATTGCTAATCTCAAGTTATTAGTGAAATCTTTTACGATATTTTCAATTAAAGTTATGGAGATTAGTATGTTGACACATTTGAAATCATCAGTCAGTCATTGTTTGACCACCATTGGAAACCTGGAAGCACTGGACGGCTGTTTCGTCCTGGTATGAGACTCATCAGCAGTGCGCATCCACGACTCCTTCACCCAGGACCTTCGGTCTTGCGCGCGAACGCCTAACTTCTGGACCACTGGGCCGGAATCCAACGGTTTTAATGTCTAACTCTGATTGATCTAGGGATTTTGCGCGACCTCACCCATTTGTCTTTGGTAGTTACTGCCTATACCCGACAGGGATGAACTCCAGTGGTCAAGTCTTCTCACTAGAACTCCGACAATTTTCGCACGAAGCCCGTCACTAGTAAGCACATCGTACGACTTTTTTTCAATTAAAGTTATGTAGATCAGTGTTCTTACACATTTGAAATCATCAAATAAGTAAAAACACAGGAGTCATAGATGCACACTGCTGATGAGTCCTATACCAGAACGAAACGGCCGTCCAGTGCTTCCAGGTTTCTAATGGTGGTCTAACAATGATTGATAGATGATTTCAAATCTTTTAGAGTGGTAATTTTATTCAATTGTTTTTTTGTTATCATCTCAATGAATATTGAAAATTTACTGTTTCGTGTTTCTTTGTTTATTTGATACTGAGATAATGTGAGATAATGATATGTCACTCAATAGGAATGATTACGGTGAAGTGGTATACCTTGTTAAAAGTTCATTTCAAATTGAAGTGATGTGAATTCATTAACCACAGTTTAAGATTCATATGCTAATTTCATTTTGTTTTCTTTAATCGGTCAAATTATCCAATAACAATTCAACATTGAATGTATGTGAGTAAAAAGTGAAGTTCTAACTTTAAACATTGATCCAAGAAGTTTTATTGATCTTGTTCTAAGGGTTCTTATTAAAAAAACGTTTTTTTATTGTAAACTACATAGAATGAATACAAACTGAGTAAATAAAATTATCAGTTAATCAGCTTGTAAATTGAATATATATATATATATATATATATATATATATATATATAATTATTTTCCTGAGAAAGCATATTACATGCAAATAAATTCAGCGGTGTTTTATTTATGAAAGAATAAGCTATTACAAGGAACTTCTTTGCTTATAAAAGTAAGAATAATAGTTCGATATATCTTCATATATCATTCATAGATGGCTGTATTATAATTCAGTGAAACGGAACTAAGTAGTCTAGAATCCTGTCATATTTAATGAATGCTTATTTTCAATTTTCGGGGAGATTATATGCAACAAAGCAAGATTTCCAAAACCATAAAAAAATCTAAAAGGTTTACAGATTCGATGACTGAACGTACATCGAATTTACTTTTTCAAAAACGAGCGAATCGTGAATTGTTTGTCAGTCAAGTAACATGGTCTTCTTTTATCTTCACCTTCCATGAATCTAGATTAATTCAGTCCAATGTTTTTCAAAGAAATGGACAGTCAGTAGAAAGGATTGAATTTCATTAAGATCATAGACTGACCAATTTTTGACCATCACTGAAAAACTGGGAGTACTCAAGGGCCATTTTGTCCTAGTACGGGACCCCAGCATTACGTATCCGCAACCTCACAATCGAAAATGGAACTCAGGACCTTCAATCTCCCTCAGGAGCGCTCAACCTGCAGACCACTGAGTCGGCATCCAATTGTTTTAACGTCTCATCTCAGTCAATACACAATAATGAGCGACTATCATCAATTGTCTTCAGTGGGTAATCACCTCACACGCAGCACAGTAATATCCCCCAAAACAATTCAGATATTCATTTTCTAAACAAACGACTTCATCATATTACATACCTTTCATGTTTAAAAAATTCATCAATTAATGGGACTATCGACTAGAAGACAAGTGTTGTTTCATGTTATAAAAAGAAATCCATTGTGATTTATGCGATGAATAATCAATCGATTGTGATGAATTTATCTTGCGTGGTAGAATTCGAATGATTCATCAACTCATCGATTTCACAATGAATTTTTATTGACTAATGATTGTTTGTTTTAACTGACATGATCGATAATAATAACAATAATAATAATAGTAATGGATGAATTCGATTCTATTTCTCTTTACTATTATCGTATTTATTGTGATGATTAATTTTCTTTTTAAAAAAATAGAATGAATGAATTGAAGTATTTTTCTTTAAACTGTTTAAATCACTGTTGGATTTGCTTGAATATGAGATAACTTTTACTTAAAATATTATCATCACTTATTTTCAATTGACTATGAATAACTAACTGGAAAACCAATTTAATTCGTCATTTCAATTAAATTAAGACCACTTCTAAGAATGAATCTCAACAGTTATAATTGTTTCATTGGAGAGAAAAAGGGAAAGTTGATAAGATGAATAGTAATCCAAAAGTTAAACAATCCTTTCGATCAATTGTTTCTTAAATATCTTATCATTAGAGTACACTATTATAAACTGAACTTAAACAAGATTAGTTGCGCTCTTATTTAGCTTCCTTAAGTACAATCTAAACTATTTACAAAAAATGACAGTAGGAGTTCAGTACTGGTCTGAATAGTTAAGTAATAACTCCATAGACTGTGAAATTGGTTGATAAATGTTTGAACCCTACACGAAACATACATTCTGTCATGATTGTAAGTAATCCTTGCTGATGAGTGCCAACTATTTTTGAAAGCTATATCTTTAGTTGATATTTAATTGAAGTTAGAGTCATATTCAGCTTTTCACGACATTATTTCATTTCACGCAATTATTGTTAATATTATGCCGATAAACGTTTACATATAATCCTTGATTAAATTCATTTTTAATAAACTATATTGGATCCGATATTCAGTTTTTTGATGTTTAAATAAAATAAATAATAACAAGCTATTTGACTAGTGCTTCCAGGTTTCTAATGGTCGTCTAACAATGATTGACTCACATTTCAGTAATAACCTTAGTTAGTTTGAAAATCCTGAAGTGTCGAAGATTCTGTTCGTTGGATTGTAGCGAATGCAGGCACTCTATGACATCTAAGCTAATTAGTATACAACAGTTTGTAATCTATGCTTTCTAGTTTTAAGTGTTTCTCTTCATTTACTAGTATACATTAGGTTAACCCTGCATTTCTAGTAAATACCTTTTACCATCATATATATAGAGAGATTTTTAATTCGCAAATTTATGGAAGTGTCAGTAAGGAAATCAGTTAATATTGAAGTTATTGATCGTTGTATCTCAAAGAATATTCAGATAACAGCTTTGCTTACTTATAAAATGAAAGTAGTAAATGCTTGGTAATGAGTAAAATATTATTTTTCATCCATCCAAATTATGATACTGATAAATAAATTCCTCCTAATTTTTCTTTTCGACATGGTCTAAGCTGAAAGTTGTCTCCATCATGCACCAGCACATTGAATGAATATGGTTATTAAAAGCGTGGTGGATTAGAGAGTTGGATTATTCCTTATCGTGATTTCCCAGAAGCACACTATCAAGATGATCACTAAAATGCTTTTTTTAAATTAATGTTAAGGTTTCATTTGGAACAAAGATTGTCGAAGTTTTTTTCCCAATTCAGTTTTTGTCATAACCTTTGTCCTCTTCAGACTGATGGAAATTACTTTTAATTCGCTAATAGTTTGTATGCCTCAAGGTCATATATTTATTACTATACATGCTGTGTTGTACCATTTCACATCGTCCTTCTTTAACATCCTGCGCTAATTATTCCTGACTTAGTGGGTAATTCGTGGACTGTTGTATTCAAATGGCCATTACTGATTCCTTAATAGAACTGTTCAGATGAGAATAATCCGACCGTCCATTAATTCGCAAGTATCATACGACTAAGGGAAACCTCAATATATACTCATTTTTAAAAAGATTTTTACATGCATACATACGATACTAATATTAGTTGAACGTTTATCGAATGTAAATCTTACGACGATCAATATGTGACCCAATTGTGATGATATTACTTCTGGATACATATTTTCAAATTCATAGAGAGAAGTGGAGTAAACAATGAAGGTATTAAAAGGGTAATCCATCGATAATATCAGGTAAAGATCACATTGAAGTTGAAAGCACGAATCATGTAGATTAGGCAGTGCCATATCGTGATATTCGGTAATAAATATATGTACGGTTGATAATTTATCGTCTTGAAATCTTGTGTTCTTTAATCTTGAACAAATTTCTAACTAAAGTCAGTCCTCGATTAAAGTTATCTTAAACTTGACAGAGAAAAGATCAATAATTCATGTTGTACTAAGTTCTCAGATTTGGGTATCTTCGTTATCGTTCTTGACAATATTATCAGAACCTACTTCACATAGTAGTGAGCTGTTTAACAATTGTAAAAGCTCTAAACTAGCATGTTCTGATGATCTAACCTATTTAATATTAAGCAGCTTTCTGAAACATTATGTAACGTAATCTTCCTCTTATCTTTCAATAGACTATTTTATTTTCAAACTAACTATAAATACGATTGTATAGCTTAAGTAAATAATATCGTCGAAAAGTAAATTTTCTTTGCTGAATTGACTAGATTCTTTTTTGGTGATACCATAGGTTACTTTCGTTATTTGAATACTTTCAAAGATCCGGTGACCGTTAAAGAACTCAATGGATTTATGTATTACTCCGTCAAACTTCCTGTAGCGAATACCAGAATTGAGTTGTGTTTTTGTTTTACGATCATGTCGATGTAGTAAATAAATCTTTATGACCGAAATCGGTTTGTAAGACCTGTAGGTTTGGTTTCGTAGCTGCTTCTAATAACGCTAAACTAAATCTATGCGGTAATCTGAACACATGAAGGATGGTGTGGAGTGAAAAACCTAAGAGTGGTGAGAAAGATTTATTTGGTTGCCAAAATAAATCCAATATGTTTCCGTAATATGTGATTTACTGACAGATTAACAGTGAGGTTTGTATACATTGGCCTGAATTGTATTTAGACAAGTATAATTCAATCAGTCAGTCAGTTATAACGTAGAACTTCGTACGTATGTACATCAGTTCAGGTTGCCATACCGCATGTGACCAATTCGGTCTCGTGTGCTGGTGTGGGTATGAGGGCGGATGTCACTTCCCGGCTACCCACACCATGGAAGATAATTCAGTAAGCTCTTGTCTGAACAAATTTACCTTATTATATAGTTAGGCATCTATAGTCCTTCTTAAGATGTGAACAGATATCACATTGAAACAAAAACATTTTCTTATACCATTCACACTCCAAGTGGTTAAGCTATAACTTGCCTTATCAGGTCTTGAGTCTGATATCTGGAGGATTCGCTAGTGTATATTACTTATGTACTGTGTACTAAAACAAAACAGCTGTTCAGCGCTTCTTGGTTTTTAGCGACCACTTACTTTCATTCATTCAATAGTGAAAACATTCGTTGAAGGTAAGTGGCTTTCTGTTTATGATCTGAAATGTAGTAGGCCTGAGCAACAACTTCTGTACACAACTGATAATGTGACAGACGTTACAGAAATCTAACAATTTCAAATCCACTCGATGACTTTATCCTTTTTTCGTTAAAATCCTGCTTATTTCAGTATTAAGAATCATTCACAACTTATTGATTTTCATGATAGTACTTTCAAGTGACCTTGACAAGTAATTTTTACGATTTCAAAACATTGAATCGTGAACTGATCTAAAATTATAAAGATTGATCATCACAGTATCAATAAGAATTTTATTGATTCAGTCAAAATGTCCTTTTTAGGTTTAGGACAATTAATATGATCAACTGATCTAGATCCACAGAGATTGATACCGAGAAAGATAATTATATATTTATTTCGAACTTTTAGTGATAAGAATGACCTCAACGAAATAGGTGATGAAAATGAAGACTAAACTGTATGTCAGTACAAATGTACTGAGAGAAACTGTTGTGATTAAAACTTATGTTTATAATGATGTGATTGGATAATTTAACTAGTGATCAATTTATATTCACTAAATTATTTTGTTGACTAGTTAAATGATCAAACTAATTTTTGTATCTCGTAAAACAAAAACAGTTTTAGAGGAATTTCTGTCTAAAATGACGTTACGTACTAAATTAGTGGTGTACACATATCAATATTTTTCATGGGAAACCTGTTATAATGACCTTAAATTTGATTGGCTTTTTAGCTCCAAGAATTTGGTTGGTGGGTTGTAGGAGAAACTGGATGAAAATTTGTCTGAATCATTAATCGACTGTTCATTAATCCTCTTTTGACTGTTACTTAGATTGTACTTATCACAAAAAATCCTTTCAAAACATAACCACTTTAGTTTAGAAGAAATTCAGACTGAATAAAAGCTGTGGCTAACTTAAAATAATAGTTAGCAGTTTCTATTTGTAAGTTCGAAAACAACAACTCATGATGTCATCCTACCATCTACCAAAACTTGTTGAGGATAACAATGACCAAGTATATTCTAGGATTTATTTTATTTTATGCAGTCAGTTTCGTAGCCAGTACCGATCGCATTGAGAGCTCATTCAATTTGTATGTTGTCAATATTACAGAACCATCTGACATAATTTCTATTCGATTTGTGGATATTTACATTTCCAAAATTAATACTATACCTAGCCGTCATAAGGGAGTTCTAAAAATAAGTGATTATGTTCTTAGCGACGCTAGTAAATCATAATAGGAAATTAATATTAATCATGAAATAAGTTCAAATGAGAAAATACTGAAAATGATTTTTTTTCAAAAACTAGAATACTTTTTCTTTGCAGTACGTACATCCGCGTGGGACTACTGCCGGTCCCAAGCCTGAATAAAGGAGAAGGTTTGGGTTTGAAGTTAGCAACCGCATCCTGTAAAATACTAACTAACTAAATAAACGCTAAACGGAACAAATAAATTCTTAGCAGCTTACTGTTAAGTAGTATGTATACTCAATTAAAGAGTTACGAATAAGAAGTAAACTAACTACCGAATATCCAACTGATCAATAGTAGATACTAGCTCAGTGGTTTAAACGTTAAGTGCCTGTTATGGCTATTTACGGTCTCGAATTCAGTCCGTAGCAGAGTTGTAAGCCAGAATAGTTGACAAAGCATTTACTAGGAAAAAAACATTGCTAGTTTCTTATGGTTTCCAATGATTGTTTAACTAAAGTCAGTCGGTAATATGAAATTTAAAATCCATTCACATCTATGGTACGCTATAAAATAAAGATTATTTATTGATTCGATATTACGATCACACCAACTGTGGTATGGTATTATGAAATATGATAATACTGTCAAAATCATAATTTTTCAACCAATCAACTAAACTCTTTGTTTTACTCACCTCTTCTTGTATTCTATCAATTTTATCAAGATTTTGTTTTAAACCAACATAATAACGTTTCATTTCTCGTTTAAACTCAGTTTCAATACAAGAATTTTTTCCAGTCACATGTGTACTATTCTCACTTCTTTTTGTTTTATTGAAATTATAATTCACTGTTTCTTTCCAACGTTTAATTTCATCATCATCATCATGATCAATTTTATTGTCATGATTTTCAACGTTCATATTCACTTTTTTTTAAATGACTTTTCTAATATGTGTTACTGGTTATGTGAAGTAGAAAAAAACTGCGAGTGATCACAATTTCAACTATACATATTTTTATCTCGAATATATTTCATCACGTGAGATTTGTTTTAAGTACAAAATAACTCGATTATTAAAGTACTCTTACAGAATATTCTAATAACTATATAACTTGAAATCGAACACCGACAAAATAATCTTTATAGAATAACATAAACTACTTATAAGTAGTTACTCACCTTAAAGCCTAAAATGAGTAGCTGTGGATAGGATTTGCTTTCCAATCTTGTTCCTCGATGTTCTGATTGAAATTCAAGTGTATGTTGGTAACAAATGTTTAAAATACTTTGAAACTCTGTTTATACGTGTTTTCAATTCTCTTAGTGTGTATTTTTGCTTATTGGGTATCCTATTTCGATATGATTTTAGGCTGATCACAAGGATTTAACACAGTTTTCGATAATCAACAAATCCTAACATAGTATTTTGAAAGAAGTATACGTAATGGAGCGTTTTAATAATAAGGAAGAACCTTTGCTATAATGTCAGTTAATTTACCGTTCAGAGTCAATTTCCTAATATATTAGTTATTTCTAACTGATTTATATATTGTTGGCAATATTTGTAGTAGATGTGGTAAGCTTTGATTACTTTTCAGGCAACAGATTATAAAAAAAATTTTGGCTTCTAAGAAGAGATGATGATCAGTTTCTAGCTTTTCATAATTTTAATCTTACAGCATCTAATGATAACTTCAACAGTAAACAAATCTAATAAGATCCTAGAACTCTTGTTTTCATAATACAAATCCATGAGTTGTTGTTCATGAAATTCATCATGATGACTCTTGCTTTTCCTTCGATTTTTCGTATATTCATTCGTTCTTTTCCAAGATTATATGTTCAAACGAATGTTTTCATATTTTCGTCTTTTAGAAGACAGTGAGATTTCCTTTCCAATAAATAAAACAAACACACAAATCTTTGAGATGGTGGAAAAAACTTGTAGCTCAGGTGGATGTTTTTGGTGGTGTTTCGTTCTCTCCACAACCAAAACAACCAAACCACCAAAACACAAATCTTTTCCTCAATACGTTATGTTGAATTATGTATGGCTTGTTTTTATGGTGATTTCATAAATACAAAGCGAGTGCGTAATAAAGAAGTCATTATCTTTGAAGTCCACAATACTTCACTGAACTTCATTTTAAAAAAAACAGGGTACTAATAAAATATTTTCAGTATCAATAATGATTTTTTTTTTGTTATTCTTAACTTTCCATTTACCTAATACTATTCATCGATTACCTTCATTTATTAACCTTTAAATAAACTATTAATAAGAAATAGTTATGTGTATTAAGTAACAAAAATTATATGAAATTCGTTAACTAATAAATTTTTAACATTTAAATGAATATTCATGCGCTTGAATATTAAAAATGGGTTTAATTTTCATGATCCTTAAGAAAATTCTCTTTGGTATAATTATTCAATGAAGTTCTGAATACCATTTGGACAAAAAATTCTTTTTTGTCCACTTATTGACAGTACGATAAGTTCAAGTAATTTTTATTCGTTTCAACAATAAATGACCTTGTAAAGATCATTTTTGTTTAGTTAATCTACTTACTATAATTATTGATAGTTTAATTGATAGTAACGTTAGTAATGTTTAAAAAGAAAAACAATTTGAATAGAGATGTTAAAGTCTACTTTTAGTTAACCTGAATAAACAAAGATGGATGGTGGCCAGCAGTGGAATCCAAAACGAGCATTTCGTCCTATCCGGGGCTCTTTTACTAGATGTACGTGCGTTACAGGGTTGACGAGTCTTAAATAAGACTAAGCGTGAATCATTAATTCCACTGCTAGCCATTATCCATCTTTGTTCATAATGTTTGAAAATTAATGGCAATATTGGAACCGTTCGCTTAGGATGCATATCCGCCAAAATAGACTGGTCAGTTATAGTTCTATGCATCAAGTAAGAAAATACTGAACAAATAACAATCAAATAACTTGAACATTTTTAATGGAATATTTTGTTTATTTAGAGAATTTCTGTTATCATTTCGAAAAATGTCATTATTAACAACTTCAAATAAACATAAACTCTCTAGCTCGAAAACTTTTACAATTCTATCAAACAAGAATACAGATAGAAATCTATCATTCTATAATTATGCATAAGTTCTAATGAAATTATCAACAGTTGCTAATCCCCTCCCGTAATCAAATAAACATATGAAGTTTAATTGATTTATTTGTGATATAGTCAGATAATCTATGGCTTAAACCTCAATGATACCATAAAAATCGTTCATTCGATAAATAGGAAAATTTAGTAATATCTAAAAGTCACTAGCTGTGGAACTGAGTTATGACCCATGTATCAAAGTTACACAGTGTAATTATATTTATATTACACAAGCAAGTCAATTAAGATCACAGAGACAACTTCCATATTTATTGTTTGCATTAAATTTAAAAAGGCATAAAATTTATTTTGTACCACAATAGAAAACACCTTTATTGTAACGCTTCGAAAGTTTTAATTATTCCACAAAATTCTTATTTTACCATTGTAAAGTGAAAATGATAGTATGAAACACATTAAATGCTCAGTTGTATTCCCATATTTCAATTATACATTACATGTAAATCAGTGAATTTTAATTTGACCTACTCTGTTTATAGTAAACGCTCAGAGAAATCACTTTATTAATGATTTCTCAAATAGAAAAATGAATTGTTGAAGTAGGAATGATCATAAATACAATTCCTGTATTGTTATCTCATAACTTTATCTTGTTAATGCTTAAGTGAATTTATTCATGACAATTTTATATATGATGATTCATTTCTTTTCAAAATTATTAAAAGCTAGAATGATGTTACTTATTCATCATGAAATATTCTCATTTCACATTTTATTATTATTAACAGAGGTAGATAGTAGCTATCAGTGAAATATAGGGGATATGTAGTTTGCCTTATTAGGGACTCGACAGCGGTAGTTATCTGCAACCCATACTCGAACTCAGAACCGTTCGCTTTAAACGTCATCGCATTATTCAATTATCTATTCAGTTTGGATAGCCACCGGTTTATGCAATCGATAAGATTTATCTTATGTTGTCAATTCACTGACCATAATCACTAGTGTTTTGATCATTTAATTACATAACAAATGTACTTGCTAATTTCTCTTCAGAACAAAAGTAAAGAGGTGAAACGAAATATTTTAGAAACAGTATAATAAAATTGAATTTGGATAAAATTACACTAATATTATAATGAATTATCACTCATCTGAATAGAAATGTTTTTCTTTTATTTGTTTGTTTTGTGTTTTTTTTTGAAAGGAGAAGATAACTGATGAATCTTCATAGAGTATTTCATAATATGTGTTTATTGAACAGTTGCTTCTGAACTAGTTACTGTTTCTACCATTGGCATTGTTGATGATGATGATGATGTTAGTTCTGTGGTGGTAGTGACAACAGGTGCTTTTTCAGGTATTAGTTCTTCTTTTTCTCTTGAACTAATTCCATTTGTTGGTTCATTATTCAGTATCTTACTTAGTATCCTTTTCGATTGTGCTTGTTGAGAATTCGCCATGCTTTCTGATGAAGAAATTCCTGAAGATTTTATTGTTGTTATTTCCATCTCTTTACTGGTAGTCGTCTCTGTAGTCGTTGTCAGAGGTAATGAAGAAGATGATGTTAGTGTTGTTGTTGTGGTGGTGGTGGTTTCTTCATCATGATCTAAAGAATCATCTGTGGAATTCAATGCTTCATGAAGTGCTTCATGTGAAATTACTGTCCAATTGGAATCATCTTCATTACCAGTACCAGATGCTTTATGCTCATAGCTAACAGTTGTAATAGTTGATTCTTCTGTAAACCCTTTCAAAGGTACACTGAATGTTACTTTAATAATTATAATAAAAATGTATAAACAGTTAAAAGAATAACTGAACATATTGTAGTATATAGACTCGATAATTTCATAGTATTTCACAATGAAATCTTGTGAATTAAATATCCTGTAAGAATTTAACAGAGATCACGTTCAAATGTAAATGTGTATGGAATTTAGCTACCAGCATAAATTATTAATACGATTGAAATGTTGAAGTTTTTATTCTGTACACATTTTATTTTAGAAATAAGTACGGGAATAATGTGGGTTCAATAATCTACTACATGAGAATGACATTCATTATCTAGTCGTAAATCTTCTCATGTGTACATTACTATAATTGTTTGGTTTATTCATTTATTAGTAATTAATTAAAAATTTATATATACAATATAATATAGTTAAGCTTAACACTACTATCTTGTCTAAATATCTTTAACAGAATTGAAATTAACAGTGTTGAAATTAATTACCTTCTAGTAACATATAACAATATGTACTAGTTATTCAAAGTTCAATAATATCATACTGAACTGTTGAACTTGTCATCAAAACAACAAAATGTAAACATTAGGAATTGAATGTACTAATAATGTATGTATGTTCATGTGTGATCTGGTTTCGATGCATCCAAGAACAGAATTGTTAAGAATGTTTAAATCTATGAAAATAATACTCATTTACTCTCTTGCTAGTTTCTTTTATTTAATTTGAATGTTTTCGCTTTCATATCAACACTATTTTCCAATTTGTAATCAAAACAAAGAAGCGTTTTCACCACTGATTCATGTTACATCTGTTGTGAACGAGAACACATGTGGGGCAACCGAATTGCATTTAACGAAAATTACAGAGTTACTCAGTAAAATTGGAAAACCATATCATAAATCTTTCATTTGCAAAATATCAGTTCATCATATCGAACTGGACTGTTCCTGTTGCAAAACATCGATCCATTGTCATTATTCATGCGTTTCATACAAATTCCATTGTTTTCTAATGCTTTCTTTCTTGATCTTCCCCCATTTTCTGCTGCCAGACATTACGTTGACGCTCACGTCATATACTACTTATAAGTAGCTCGCACCACAGCACCACACATCTACTACTTTCAAGAATTTTGTAAGTTTATATATATGTCCACAGTAGATACTTACCTAATCCATCTTACTTTGATCATTCCCAACAAGACTGGACCTTGAGTTAAACTGGAGCTAGGAAGAAGATGATGATGAACAAGCAGAAAGAGAACAAGAAGAATATCCTTCGTATATCGGCTCACAGAGATAAAATATTTCTCCTACAAGAGCATCATCAGTCAAATGCTTACTCGGAATTCCCAAAGTGTAATAGAATGAGGTAAACGAAAGAACACATTGTGCCAGGTATTGAAGATCGACATGGAAGGAATGAACAACAATTGGGTAGAACTGGAAAGGATGTTGAATATAGAAGAAGTGGTCAAAAAAAGTCCTCAGTATAATCAATTCTTGACACTTTTAATGTTCTGTAATTAGACTTCGTTCATCTTAAACGCCATATTATGTGAATAGAAATTCCAAATCATTGTGATGAATCGATTCCTCATCAAATTTCCTGTTTTTTAATTAGATGTCGATTGCTCTAATGAATAATTTATTTAGAAATGAGATCTTCAATAAATTTCATAATAATATTTTATGTACAGTATCATAAATGTAAATGTTAATTTGTCAACAATAAACTAGAAGAATTTAGTAATGAAAGAGAGTCTATGAACAGTCTTGAAGTCTTTATCAGCTAACATTTTTTCATAATACATCAGTCAAAATTATGAGAAAATTCTTTAACTTAAAGTTTACTAGTAGCTTCATAATATTCCGTTAACTCTATGTCATATCCCTGCTCATGCTCTTACAAATCGGTTTTTGTGACAAATTTCCTATCTGAGGAAAAGGGAAGAGTTGATATCAAAAATGTATAACCGAAATCTAAATAAGTTTAACAATATTGAAAGATATTCGTAGTTTTATAACTATAAATTTTGGAATTCACCACTCCCAGTGACATTTTATGCAGTCATACTTCCTATAACTGGTAAAAGCCATACTTTTGTGAAAGGTATAAGTCGCTAAAAGTGATTGTTCAATGAGTAAATATCACTTCTCTTTCTGTTTGGCCATACATATGGGTCATTCGTCGACGATATTTTTCGTCTCATTTGGCAATATATTTAAGTATAACTCAAAAATTGAAAATGCTTCTTGTTATTCATTAAGAAATAGGTGAATTTTTATTATACCAAGAAGTTCTGTATGGGTTTGAAATCTCCAAAATTATCAGAATGGTGTACAGAAATCACCAGTAGACCAGCTCAAGGGAGAAATATTGACAATAATTATCACACTACTGAATTTGAAAAAAGTAACATAATTTTAACGCGGAATATATATTGGTAGCAACATGATCAGATTGATTGTCTAGAATATTCAGCTTTGTTCCTCTGTGTTATTTGAATTTGTAATTTTTTAATTCAGTTGTTAATGCGTTTTTTGGAAAAATTTCAGAGACCAGAATTTCAACATTTGTTTATGTTTATTTACATGGGTCGTTTGACCATTAAATGTCTTTGCAAATGTTATTTGTTTGTTGCATGTTGTGTTGTAATGGACTACCTTGCTGTGTGCTTTGAATGTTATGACCTACTGCTGCAGAAACCTCAGCTACTCTGGCCGTTTTCATCAGCATTTTTTTGTGGGATAAAAATGCTAGATCATCTGCGAAGTCTAAATCGTCCAGCCGTATCCGATTTGTCCATTGTATCCTGTACTTCCCCTCATAAGTTGACGTCTTCATAATCCTGTCGATCATCAGGAGAAAGAAGAAGGGTGAGAATAGATAACCTTTTCTGACACTATTCTTCACTTGGATCGAGTCTATGAGATGTTCTCGATGGACGATCTTACAGTGTAGGGTCAAGGAATGTCCCATAATGTTCTCCTGTCCATGCTATTTAATGCCTACTCATAGGAAACTGATGTATATTGATGAGTCCAATTAAGTTGCTTGTTCCACAATGTTCCATAGTGTCGCGATTTTGATGGATTCTTATGAACTCCAGTCTGTCAATCTCAAAGTTGGATGTCTACTGAATCTTTCTTTCGGTTCAGTAATATTCTGTTAAGAACTTTTCCTAGTACTGGTAATAATACGAATCCTCTGTAATGCTCACACTTTCTGAGATCACCTTTCTTTGGTATCTTGATCAAATATCCCTCTTTTACTTGTTCTTTCCTGAAAATCTTGCTGGACAGAGCGTGCAACATCTTTGAGGATACTGTTATGTCTTGTTTCAGTGCTTCATCTGGGATTTTGTCTGGTCCTGCTGCTTTGCCGCACTTGATTTGTTTGATGGCCACATTCTCTTCAACTGTTGATGGGTCAACATTAATTGGGAGGTCCGTGGAGGCTGCTTTGATGTTGGGTGGATTCAATGGGGCTGGTCGATTCAAGAGTTCTTCAATGTTTCCTTCTCTTACAGCTTTTCTCCTATCATTGCCGGATCGCTCACATGATTACATTTATCAACTTTAATGCCCATCTTAACTTTTTTATTTGTTTTTGTGTATTTGGCCTATGCCCTAGCTTTCTCTCATCGTGTTTGGCTGTTATTGATTACTATCTTCCAGTTCTTCCTTTCCTGAATCTTATCCACAGTGTGCACAGAGATCCATCTCTTCAATAATATCTTTGAACCCTAATCTCTCTGATTGCTGCTAATACTTTTACTACCTCTGCTACTATGGGATTTGAATTGACAATTGCATCTCTGTGCTAATGTGGTATGGTAACTTGAACTGATCTACGTCCGTACGAAGTTCCACATTGTAACTAACTGTCTGATATGGTCAAAGGTATAATAGTAGTAGTTACTCACTGGTGAGACTAGATAAATTAATGAACTATCACATAAAGTCGGATGATGATTGGAATCACGGTATTTCAACTCAGTTTTAATAATATGGGTTTTATCTTTATAAGAATTTCTTCTTTGATCCCTTTTCATTTGTTCTCGGTGGTAGTTTCCTTTTCATCGAGTAGCTTGTGAAGGGTTTAGAGCTTATTACTGGAGGCTATCTTGAATTCTCTGAGTTTTCCAGTACCCCAAATAAAATCCGTTTTAAAATTTTTTGATGTTGTTCTAGCAGTTACCTTAAACCATTTTGTTGAAGGCACTTAGATTCGTGATTCTGTCATTGTTTTTGTTTCTTTATCCCAGTACATATCATTCCATGATATCTTCCTATCTAGTTTTGTCGATTCTAACATGGGCATTTAGTTCCTGCGTCATGGTATTCAGGTATTTTCCTGAACATTTCTCTATGATCGGCTCTAATCTCTCATAAAACTGATTTTTCTCGTCCTCATTGCTACCATTGCTGGATGCATAGCCTTGAATAACATTCACTATAATCCCCTCCCTTGTTTTGAGTGAAGTTTTGATGATCTTGTATCCGTGAGATTCTCACCCTACCAATGTTTTAAATGATATTTTCGAGGGCACCAGCGTGACTCTTCATGTATACGATGTATTTTATTCTTCATGGCTAGAGTACAACAGCGTATCTCCTGAAGCTAATTTGTTTCGTCCAGCTTGCACCCAATGGGTTTACATTACTCCGATCACCTTCAGCTTGTATCTTTTGATCCCCTGAAAAACCTAAATGCTTCTCTAGGTTTCCAACATTTTGTAAACACTTCATTTATCTATGTTTATCGTTGCTGTGATTATGAGAGTGGGGCATCAGTTTCGTGACTTACGGAGAAACTTGGCTTTCACTATGAGGTGTCATAACTCTTCTAAATGAAGTTTTTTCAACTTTTAAGGTAGAGTTTAAATGGTTTAAATTATTAGAGGTTTTTCGGTAAGTTTGTTTTATGGAGGATGAGATTGCTAACCCCATGCCCAACCCTCCTCCTTTGTCCGGGCTTGTGATTGGCATTAACCGTGGAAGTACTCTAGATGATATTTTTATTTCAATAGGAAATCTGTCATTTGCGTCACTAAACACACTTATGACTTTTGAACATGGTTCCGGATTCAATCTCTGAGCATATGTTCTTTTGATATGGCAATGA